ACAAAGCGTCACATGCGAGTATCAAATTTGACACTGAAAACTTTACGTACACGGCTCACGGCTCCGTTGGTAAATAAGTGTTAAGGAGGAGAAATCTCCTGCCGCTTTCCCTCACTGGAAACTGTAGGAATGCGCGAATGCGAATATTTAAACAATTTCCGTTGCAATTCGATTACTTGTTTGAGTTCACTTTCTTCTTGGTTGTGTGTCAATGTATTATCCACATTCATTTCGCAATTTCCCAAGCTAAAATATTAGTATGTATATATGTATGTATGTACAGCTGTGTTCACAAAAATAGCAGTGCGAGATATGCAATCAAGTAATGTTATTTTTTTCCAGTTCCGTTACGATTATTCCAACGTCTACGCATTGTTGTTGTAGAATGGAATGCGTATAAGGAAGAAACGAAAAAATCCCGTTAGATTTGCGAGATTTAAGCAAATGAACAACTGTTTTTGCTAGAAGCACCAGTCTTTGGCTGTTCATTAAAATAGCAGTGCGTATCTTGATAAACCAAACAAATTTTGTTAAGACGTTTAATTGATAAAAAGTAAGTGGTTTTGTGTTAGTGACTATTATTAACATTAGAAAACAGTTAAATAAATTTATATTTTTTAACTTAGTGGGCAGGGGCAAACATTGTACTCCTGAAAAAAGAAATATTATAGTGCAACTAAGAAACCTGGGAAAAACATATAAAGACATCCAAGAAATATGTGGATGTTCTGCTAAAATGATTCATAATGCTTTAAACTTTAAAGAAATGCCCGAAAATCGTGGTATCCAACGTGAAACCACACCTTATGAGGACCGATCTATTGTGCGATACAGCAGGGCGCAGCCTTTTGCATCGTCCAGCAAGATAAAAAATGACTTAAGCTTGAATGTTAGTGGGGTACTATTCGGCGACGTCTTAAAGAACAAAATCTCAAAGCGTGCCAGCCACGAAAAGTTCCACTGTTAGCCACCAGACATGTCAAAGCACGTTTGGAGTTCTCCAAAAGTCACCTTAATTGGCCCATTACAAAGTGGCGAAATATTTTATGGAGTGACGAAAGGAAAATTGTGTTATTTGGTTAAAAGGGCTCCAGACAATATGTCAGACGTCCACCTAACACAGAGTACAATCCTAGGTACACTTTGAAGACAGTTAAACACGGCGGATTGAGTATTATGGTATGGGCATGTTTTTCTTACAGTGGAGTGGGCCCTATATTCATGATTGATGGGATCATGGATCGATCTCTATATGTTAACATATTAGAAAATGTTATGTTTCCTTAAGCCAATTGGGAAATGCCACTAAAATGGACGTTTTAACAAGATAACGACCCCAAACATACAAGCAAACTGGTCAAAAGCTGGATGGCATCAAAGCGGATCGATCTTAGGTCATGGCCTGCGCAGTCTAAGGATTTAAATCCAATTGAAAACCTATGGGGAGATGTTAAACGATATGTTGCAAATGCAAATCCAACATCTTGATCACAGCATTGGGAGGTTGTTCAAAAATCATGGGAGCGGATCCCTGTCAAGCGCTGCCAGGACTTGGTGGATTCTATGCCTCGCAGTTGCCAGGCCATAATAAAAAATAATGGGTACACGACTAAGTACTAACCCAAGCAAGCAAATTAAAATAGTTTTTTGGAGTTCAACAATGTTTTTTTCAACTAATTCCACTGTTTTCATTACTCACTGCTATTTTTATCAACAGCTGTAAACAGCACTTTTTTGTTTAAATTAATAATGTAAAAAAAATTAACAACATTTTGAATAATAAATTGATTTGTTTTTGTTTAAAATAATCACAAAGTTAAAACAAAATTAAATTTGTGAACATTTATTTACTTTTTGATATATAAAATTAAGTTTAAAGTTGCAGCTCATAGGCACTGCTATTTTTATGAACACAGCTGTATGTATGCATAAAGTACCTACATATATTTGTTTGACAGAAGTTACGCGTGTGAAAGTTCATTCCCCGAGTATCACTTGAAATGTGTGACGGTCAATTGCATGGAACTGCAAACCGCTTCAGTGGCACCACATAAACACACATAAACCGAATCGTTAATGCACACACACACATGCGCAGCCTCGAGTAAGCATCTTTTGTGCTTGTGTTTGCATAAAGGCTCATCCTTATCAGTTACACGCATTGCCCGCTGAAATAATCTATAATTTGTTTGCTTTTGTTTTAAAATGCGATAAATCTGTATGCAAGTGTGTCTGTGACGGCTCGCAGCCAAACGCCTCAACTTCCATGACTGCTTCCCCGCTACCATGCCTGTGGTTGAGGGTATATAATTGTGTCTTTCTTGACGATGAGTGCCTGCAAGTGATGGTCTGTGCCTGCAGCGGAAACAATAGTCCTTGCCACACCCACACACAGATATTTCGGACTTATAAGACAAATAACTGTAGAAGGGGGTAATTGCAAGCATATGTTTAGTGGTTGGTATAACTGATTAATTTTGAATAGTATCCTTTTGATGTTAAGCAAAAGTGACCATATCTACTTGCTGCAAACGAAAAATACGCATATAAGTTGTGTATATAATAGAAAATTTTCCCTATGTCATTATAATATCCAATATTTGCTTGAACCGACCCTTCATTCACAAGAGGTTATACTTGTAGTATCTCTGTTATACCACTGAGAGGACTGTAAGTGAAACAAAAAGCAAACTGGTGGGAAAACAGCAGACGCTATAACTGAGAGCTGACCGTACCCACGACAGTCGGGTCTACGTAACCAGAACGGACCCGGGTTTATTCCGGCCAAGGACTGTCAACTCGGCAGAATTCTGCCGCTACAACAACAACAGCATCTTTACCTTGCCCATTATTATATCCGAGAAGTTCTGTAGAATCCAGAACGGATTCTGCTTAGCTGTTGGAGCATGAGTCCTGAAGAAACACGACGGAATAAGAGATCAGCATCACCTCAATTCAGCAATCACAGTGAGGATCAGCAACATCTTTTGTAATTTAAGCGTAGTTTTGGTTTGGATAACAAGAGTAGATCACGGAAAAGTTTCTTATTAAGCCTTACCAAGAGAGCTTCTACTAAACTTTCAGCTTTCGAATAAACTATACGAGGTTATCGATACCCAAAAACACCCCAGAACTTGATTTTGAACGCTGAATTTGTATGGCAGCTCGGTGATATCGTGCAAAGGTGCTTGGGTCTGGCGATGGTGTTGTTAGGTTGGTTTGAATATGAACCCCTCGAAAACTACCCTCGTCTTGTTTACCAGACGAAGGTTCCTGCCCGGCCTCAGGAACTTATCCCTTGGCGACAGAGAGTTAGAGATGACTAATGTGGCCAAATATCTGGGACTTACTCTAGATTCCACTTTGCCGTGGAAGGAGCATGTGATCCTTACCATAGTCAAAGCTACAAAGGCACTCAGGGTCACAATCGACTAGACGGTAAATCTTGGGGCTGCAAACCAAGGATTATCAGGTGAATGTACATTATGATCATCGTAGGACTTCAACTGTCGAAGCGGGACAGCATTACCAAAACGGTAAACTTCACAAGGATGTTTAAAGTTACCTTGGCAGCAAGACTGAATGAAACTCTACACTGCCTACTGTAAGGTCAAGAAGCACTTATTAAACATGGTCTGATCCTCTTGTGCAAACTGCCGGTTCTGTGACATGGAGCCGAAAACTCCAAAACACCTGCTAATAGACTGTACAGAGATCACATAGTCTCACTAGCATCTAGCAGTATGTTGGAATTTGTATAGGCCTTAGGTCTCTGTGCAAACCTCATTCATTATATATCTATCTATCTTGTATGACAGCTATATATATAGTACGGAGATTATACCGTTAGTTTAGACAATAATCTATGCAAAGTTTCGTGAAGATATCTTGTAAAATAAAAAAGTTACAAGGACTTCATTTTGATCGATCAGTTTGTATGACAGCTTTATGCTTTAGTGATCCGATATTGGTGGTTCCGATAAATGAGCAGCTTTTTGGGGAGAATAGAACGTGTGCAATATTTCAGAGCGATAGCGCAAAAACTGAGGGACTAGTTCGCATACACATATGTATATAAACAGACGGATATGGTTAAATCAACTCAGTTCGTCAGGCTGCTCATATAAGTATTTATTGTATTGTATATACTATATGGGATCTCTCACGTTTACTTCTGTGTGTTACAAACTTCGTTTCAAACTTAATATACCCTGTTCAGGTATAAATACATACTGCTAAAAAAATGTTACACCAAGATCAGTAAGTTCATTCATCAAATCATCATCATTCAACACATCCAATTTTAAGTTTAACAATTTCGCAGGAAATCTCGAATTCCATTTCATATGGCTTCTCATAAATAAACTCATTATCGCCATTTTTATTAATAAATCCTTCCAAACTTATTGAGGACCTCGTTAGAAACGAATGCATGCTGATTATGAGTGAACTAAAGAAAGGTTCATAGACCCCTTGGTGTTAATTTTATTGAATGCTGTCGCGCAGCTTTCAACACCAAGGGGTGTCACATTAATTGCACAATTGTAGCGACTATGAGAACTATACATTTAAATCTATGTATGCAAGTATAAAAATGTACCCATGTATGTGTGATCTTCCAATCAATGCACAACAATTAGAAATATATCGTTTTACATAATAAAAAATATAGAAAAAAAAGTAAATACATTAATTCCTGGTACTCATGTCTTTTGTTGCAAAGCAAATTCATGCATTCATAACAAATGCTTTTGATTACATTAATATTCGAAAAAAAAAGGTAGAGAGCTTATTTAAATAACAATAAAATTGTCTTATAATATAATATTTTGTATTCCTTAGAAAAAAAACAAGTCTTCGTATGACTTAGGCCCTTTCAGCAAGTTCATGAAAGCATTAATCAAAACTCCAATTAATTTCGGCGCACATACTTAGGCGCTTATGAGTAACTTGCCGAATCAAAAAGGCAGTGCTACATTAACAATATACACACATACATATTTCGTTTAAAGTATGTTTATTTATTTTGCAATTCAGTTCAGAAACTACCAACTTTTTTCTCGTAAACATCGAATCCTATGTTATGTACATGAGCATGTACATACATATACATATGTGCATATAATGAAATTGAATTCTATTTGTTGTAGCAGCAAATGTTCTTGTGAAACAGGTCGCAAGTGAATAGCATTTTAATTAAAGAAATATTTTTGGTATACCAAACAATGGCGGTCAAATTGCTTACATACATACATGTGCAGATAGTTGAAAAATAAGAATCGTACTTTTTATACTATTCATTCAAACCGGCATTATACAGTCCTTTCCCTGTATTTATAATTTAACCAGTACAATGTCATGAGTTTACAATTTAATTAATTTTATATATATATATATATATGTATAAGCAGAACTGGTGTTCATATTTAGTTGGTACCGCCACCTGGTGCGCCTTCATCGTCATCGTCATCATCGTCGGAGCCCTCAATCAGTGAGCTAAGAAATTCTTGTTGATTTTCGTTGATTAGTTGTAGTATGGCCGGATTGGCTTCGCCAACACGTTGTATGGCGTCGTTGATGAGGTCTGGATGCTGCTGTATAGCGCGACGCAAATTACGGAACAGCGGATCACTGCGAAACATTTCAAATGGCGACATGCCTACATCAGCATCACTTTCACCACCATACAGTAATGCATTTTCTGGTTGCATTAACACAGATTCGGGAATACCCTCAATTAAATATTCGATAGCGCGTTCTGGATTATTGAAACTTGCGGCCAATGCACGACGTACTTCTACTTCTGGATATCCCATACATACAATATTTGCTACCATTTCATCATTTACGCCACTCGTTGGTCGTGTAGGCTGTGGTTGCTGTAGTGGTGCAGTTGCTGTACGCTGTGGTGTTGTGACCTGAGCTTCAGCAGCAGCAGCTGTCACTGGAGCTGGAGTTGGCGCTGGCGTTTGTGGTGAAGGTGGTTTTACCTCTGGTGTTGGTGTTTCTTTTGCTGCTTCAGTTTCCTTAGCTGTTGGAGTGCTAACTGCAGCTCTGGCTACGGCTGCCTCTCCGGCCGCGGACACAGAACTACCTGCACCAGCAGTTGCAGTCTCCACACCACCCTCTTCGGGCTGCTTCAAAACCATTACGACAAGGAATTTCTTTGCATCTATATTGTAAGCACTTAATGGCTGTTCATTAAAAAGTATTTTACCGGCATAAATGAGTTTTTGCAGCTCAGGCTTAACACCAACGTCTGGATATAGCGACAATTCCTTTTTCAGTTCATACACAGTTTTTGACAAATCGATATCGACCATCAGTGATTTCTGACTCAATGTTTTAATTTGCAGCTTCATTTTTTGACTTTATTCAATAAGTTAATAACAAAAAAATAATAGGAAAGAAGTTCTAGCACACGAGAATATCCTATACTTTTGTTTTTACACATCAAAAAATTTGACATTTGCCGACTCATGCGTAGTGATGTAAAATTGTAAACATCCGCACTCGTAATACACAAGTAATTGGTTTTTTGTTAATTCGATATTTACTGTTTTCTTATACGAAAGCGATTATTCGTTGCCAAGATAGTGGTTAAAAGTCAAACGAGTAAACGGCATGTGTGCGCTAATATCGACAGCACTAGGCGAATGCGAAGAACGAGAGAATGAAAGAAGGTTGAGCAAAATGACTTGCGCAGAGAAATGTCAAAAATGACCTCAACGTGGTTGTGTTTGTTAGGCACAGCGCTGCCATATGCATGTAATTAACATTTGTAATATTGTATAAGTATTAGGAGGGATGGCAAGATTGAATTGAAACTTTGTATTCTTAATAAATACTTTACTTCGACATCATTTAAGCCAATATTAGACGGGAACATCAAATAGAAACATAAGTACAGTAACGACAAAAATAAGACATACATATGTACGTTATACATATTCCAGATCGGCTTAAAATTAGTAGGAAACATAATTTATAATACACTGTACAGGAATGAAATCCCTAATTATTTGACGAACACAACATCTTTATGTGCGCACAGTTTACATTCCTGACATTTGAAAGATGTTCTGAAATATATGTTAGAGAACTTTCCCATATAAAGTAGTTACTGAGAGTATCGTTGGAAAATATAAGAAAAATTTGTTGCATAGATTATTTTAGATAAGTATAATCGGGACGGTATGCGAATAGTTGTGGAATAAAAAGAAGAAAATTAAGATCGGACCCCACATATAAAGTTAATTCTCATTCTGCGATATCCGGTTTATCAAGGCCTTGGGAATGGATTTATTTCACGAAATTCACAATTAATTTGGTTTAAGTTCTGCTCAAAGGTCGATTTGTTAAGAGATTATTTGTCTAATATTTATATTGTTGTTGTAGCGACAAAAAACATGGTTCGGGTTGGTGGTCAACGAAGTCATCTAACTGTATGCCCAGAAAACGTGCTGTGTCGAGGGTGTCGAACCATAGGGAGAGGGGTGCTAGCTGAGTTGGGTGCTGAGCATGCAAAGAGGTGTTTAGAGTCATGCGAGTACTCATTGCACACTGAGCATATATTTGGTATATGGAGGTCGATTCTGGAGAAGTAGGAGTTTAATCTGCTAAAGGTATCCAAAACGAAGTTGCGCAAGAGTCACTCTAGATTCTCGTGGCAACTCGAGCTCTTCATTTGCAATAGATGGTGGTTTGGCTCCAAGTACGCCATTCAGTGAGAGAACGAACGGTTTGATTTTTTAAATCGCTTCATAAAGATATCTATAAACATTAAACCGCACCTCCGATCTGTTCCAAAATTGGGGATACGACCGAAAACACGTTATAACATTAAAGCCAACAATTAGCCAAATTCCTGCCAGCAATGCCCAATAAAAAGAATTCGAAAATGCTATTGGCTTTTCGATGATCACGTCCAGGTTTCTCGCTGGTCCATATACGTTAATTTTACTATTTATAAGAAATCCTTTATTCATAACGAGCTACTCTGAGGTTCTAACGGAAAACAAATGGTTTTGCGATACTCGAATTCCTCCTACCAATCCAAAGAGGCACAGCTGTCACGAACTATCTCATCTTATATCCAAGTCAGCTGACCTCACAACAACCCTTCTTCTCCCAATGGTCTAAGCTCGTCGAAATAATTCATACTTTGGATATACGAATAGATTACTACAAGATAGCCCCATTAAATCACTATAAGCTAGACTTAGGAAGCTTCTGCTACAACAACAACAAAAACAATAATGTTACACAATCTCATGTGCCACTGTGTGTACAATAACTCATTATGCTTGTTATCAAATCTAATATGCATGCATCGCCTAGAAATCTTGCCGCAACAAAACCGTTGCAAAAGTAGTTAAAACATCGTTACATCCACTAATAGTGCCCGGCTGCATTTCAGCTGCTAACAATTTTAAATAATCACCCTATTGGGAAATCGCCAGTGCGTAGCAACTACTAAAACCTTTCGCACAGGAAAATTACACCAGCCATCGGCAGTAATCTGGTGAATTGTGTGGCCAGAGCAGCGAACCGGTTTGATTAAGAATGCGGCGCAGCAACCCGTTCGCCATGTCTGTTGTTTGTTGTTTGAACACTGATTTATTGCTCTTGGTCACTGCGAGGCGGATTTCGGACAGCCCCACTACGGCAACGGACGGAGCTGTGCTGAAGCGACCCTCATCTATCACAATTTTCCAAACAACTTCCGTTGTTTTTCTAAGCAGTCTTCCATTTTTTGTGGGACTACTAGAGAATTTCCTTTGTGAGTTTGGTAATTGAAGTTTTTAGTTTTCATTATAATGTTATTTTTTGGGTGAAAATAATATGTTGATTTAAATGAAGAGAAATAACTAAACATTATTTGGATTTCGGACGGCACAACGTATGTAAGTAAATATTTAACTTGGGAATTGTGTACATGTGCATGTAAGTGTGAATGTAGATGGGTGGTGGGAGGGTGACGGTATTAATGCTGATTTATTTCGCCACTTTTACAGTTTTCAATTAAAGCGGAAATTATGTGCTTTTCGACAAGCGTGAAAGTATAAAATTTCCAACACTTTCTTTGCACAATCTTTTATTATTTTTATTGTTGTTGTTGTTTTTTCTCAACCGGAAATCTCACAGTTACGCCAATTGTAAAAACACGTGCAAAATTTTAAAATTGCCAAATTCTGCGAGACCCAAAGCAAAACCAAGCCGAACTGAGCGGAAAAAGGAGAAAGAGAGAGAGAAAGCGCCGAGTAAATCATATGAAATATGCGGAAAACGTGTTGCAGATACTTATCGCTATCGATTTATCGCCAGCAAGCGTTGCTTGGTCGACGCACGGAGCCTTGACAAAAGGCAAAGTGATTTTCGAAAAAGTCATGGTAAAGAGGGCGAGGTTAAAAAAGTGATTCGAAATCATTTAGCACACTGTTAACACCCACATTACGTACACATGAATGCATCATGTAGCCGAGCGCCCAAATGAGAATGAGTAAGTGCATATGCACATGTACCAGTATATGAAATCGTGCGCGTCTGTGCATGCATATGTGCATATGAATTGTATGTTGCCGCAAAGTGTGCAACTTGCTCATAATTATTAGCACGTATAAAGTATTCGAAATTCTGCGTTGTGTCGCCGGCGGTGCCTGCTTAAGCAACCCTTCATTCACCAGGCTTGTATTGCCCTCCTCCTCACAAAGCTACTCCTTCACACTTCGGGTTTATTGAAAATTATGCCGTAATCGAATTAAATGCAGCGTCCATCGACAAATACACAATCAATGACAGCGTGTTGCAACTATAAATGCCGCACAAAGCGACCGAAGTGATGTGATGTGAAAAAGTCGGGTATCTTCCACGCAAATTTGCTGGTTTCCGTTGCGGCTCACAAACACAAACACAAATAATTCATGCGTTGTCAGTCATATGAAGTATACTTCTAGGGGTTGGCCACACCGATTAGTACTGATCAAATAGTAACCCGAAAATGCAACAACGCAGGTCACGTGTCAGCCGTGCCAATGTATCATTATTGTATTTCTCTTCTCAGATTTTTTTTGTCTTCATTGGTGACCCGAGATAAGAAACAAGCGACACGCGGTCATTGAGGAACTGCCAGTGCCACTGCAAGGGCTGTGCGTGCATCCGTATGTGTGTATGTAAGGGATTTTTGATGAAAAATACCGAAATGTAGCAATATGAAATTGTCAACAACATTGATTGCTTTGTTGCTAAGTAGGTGGCTAGCAATCGAATGTGTTGCAAACAATGGGAAATGACTTTTCGACGGCACGCGCTGGATTGCCAAGGCATCTAATGGCATCACAGCTTATTGATACTCGGATGCAGTTATTGGCCGGTGTCATATTTTATATTTTAAAATTTTATGCTGTGCTTGTGATATAAATAATTTTAAAGCAAAAGTGCGCGACCGAAGGTTGAATATCGAAAGGGCAGTTTATAGCGATTATGGAAAAAGAGAAACAGAGTCAGTATAGGTAAGTTAAGTTTCGCTAAGAAAGAAATTCAGATTGACACCACAGTCCTGGTCACGTTAGTTCATAAGATTATCTACAAGCACTATATAATTACGAGCGATTACTAGTGATACCGATTCCGTGTGGATTAAGTATAGATATGAGGTCCTTCTCTACAATCTATCGTAGTGCAGCGAGAATTAATTTTAGCTATAAACAGGTAATAACGAACCAAATTTTTTACCTTTTTTCAAATCGACTTATGTGGACGTAGAGTTGTCGTGCAATTGTGATCCCTATCACCTGAAGAAGAAGACGGTGAATTTCTTGCCAAAAAAATAACTGAAGCCTTACAACATTTACTGAAGTTTTTTGGTCTATATAGTCTAAGGCCGCTTAGCGTAGCTGTCCCTTGAAGTGGAAAAGCATGGCAAATTGTACCGCTGACAGGTTTTTGGTAGAATCAACTTTTAATATTTGCTTAGTAAAATTTCTGTTGCTTGGCTTTACCTGCTCTTAACCGAAGCGAAATTTAATTCGGACAATACCGACGACAAGAACTGCAGCAAAAATAAAGTTCAGCACTTGTGGGTGGCATCAAAGAATACTGTGACTGAGTCACATAGCAACCTGTAGTAATCGACACTGGGACTATTTCTGCCGTAGGAAGCAACGGAAAGCAGTAGAGATGCGTTTAAATTTCCATGTGCGACACTTTGCGTACTGCTTTGTATGCCTCCTTATGGTCTGAGGATACTACATATACAATGAACAGGAATACTCATAGTTAAGAACATGGATAATGGTATATATAGGCAATTCCTGCTAGGTCATAGGTTAGCGGACACAACACTGAAAGAAATATCCATATTCAGGAAACCCTAAAGTCGTACTAAGTGGGTCATATTCATTTTTTATTTTTTAGATGTAGTAAAAACAAAGTTATGAACAAACAAAACCATTTTCAGAAAAAAACAAGAAAAAACGTCAACTTCGGCTACATCGAAGCTATAATACCCTTCGAAGGTGCATGAAAGGATATAAAAAGTTCTTTATCTTGATATTTATTCTGAGATTATGGAGATGCCTTGGACAATGATCTATCCCAAATTTTGTGAAGATATATCGCAAAATAAAAAAGTTGTCCATACAAGAATTGGTTTTGATTGTTCAGTTTGTATGGCAGCTATATCTTATAGTAGATCTATATCCTATAGTAGTTAATTTCATATTCTCCTAATTCATTTATATTATATATAGGTATATGAAAGTATCATCTTTATTCACGAATTTAGGACTTAAAGAAATTGTGTTTCGTAAAATTTTCTAAACTGTTAAAAAACAAGAAAAAACGTTAACTTCGGTTGCACCGAAGATACCTCGTGAAATGAAAGAGTTTTCGATACTACCACTTGATTCCGATCGTTCAGTTAATATGGCAACTATATGTTATAGTCATCCGATCTGAAAAATTCTTCGGGGCTTGCACTATTGCTTTAAATAATATTCTGTGTCAAAGTTCGTGAAGATACCTCGTGAAATGAAAGAGTTTTTCATGCAAGCACTTTACTCGGATCGTTCAGTTAATATGGTAGCTATATGCTATAGTCACCCGATCTGAATAATTTATTCGAAGATTAAATTGTTGCCTTTAATAATAATCCATGCTAAATTTCGTAAAGGTATCTCGTCAAATGAAAGAGTTTCCCATACAAGCACTAGATTCCGATTGTTCAGTTTGTATGCCAGCTATATGCTATAGTGGTCCGATATCGACCGTTCCGACAAATGAGCAGCTTCTTAGTGAGAAAAGGACAGGTACAAAGTTTTAGATCGATAGCTTAAAAACTGAGGGACTAGTTTGTATATATACAGACAGACGGACAGACGGACAGACAGACAGACGGACATGGTTAAATCAACTCAGCTCATCATACTGATCATTTATGTATATATTTTATAGGGTCTCCGACGTTTCCTTCTGGGTGTTACAAACTTCGTGGCAAACTTAATATACCCTGTTCAGGGTATAAAAAGCGCTGATATCTGTTCAAATTGTGCGATTGGAACGAAGCTTTTTACTTCGGTAACACCAGGGGTTCACTAAACTTACAAGTTGTTATAATATTATTTTAAAGGGGACTCAAACTTTACCTAAGCAAGTTTTACCATTTCCTAAAGGTTCAAAAAAATATTTCAGCGACAATACCGCGTGCGATAATTAATGATATCTACGAACATACATATGCATGCACATTTATGTGTGTATGAATATTTTCTTGGGGTGTTATTAAACTAGATTGGCTGATTGAATGACCTCAGCGGTAGATATATAATACATAGATCAGTATTCCTAAGGGTAAATTAACACACATAATGCCTGATAACAATCACTGAAATTTTGAGAAAAATAAAAGCATACATTTGGTCACTTAGCTGTCCGCTAATCAGGCTTAACAGTCCCAGAGCTTGACAAATCCCAAATTTATGACTTAATCCAGATTCGATATAGTTTACCGCAAAATCTACAACACATTGCGGTGAGTATGAAATACATGTTTCCGATATAAAATAAGAGATTGCACTAAACTAAATAATGGAGACGATAGCAAACGAGAAATAGTACTTCCCACGCTCGCGCGAGACTGAGCTTTGACACCTCATTAATCCATAAATAAGCATAGTCGAACAAAACTATTCATGGAAAATAACTACAATGGACAAAGCGTTGACAAAAAGGCGAGCAACAGTCTCATATGGTATGCATTATAAATAAATATTATTAATAGTATGTGTTGGCAACAACCATAGTAGGTTATATTAAATGATATGGACGTCACTGCTTATGAAATTGGGATTGAATGAACCCCTCATATGTAGAGTATTATGGCGTGGATCGTGAGCTCATCAAGTTCCGTAGGAAACCAGCCAACCCTTAATTGTAATTATGCGCCAGTAAAGTCAAATGAAACTGCGCAGTGGAAACTGGAGTACTTATACAATTAAAATGGCATGAACGGATAAACATATGAGGCGGTGAAAAAAGTAGAGTGTAAAGAATACCAACCGTATCGAATGCAGAGACCAAACCCATGCTAAATGAAACAAAAAACAGAATTAGGAAAATAGTAAAAAAGGACGGAAATTAATATGAAATTTGAATTTAGCAAAACTGATTGCACAGTGTGTGGTGGCCAGAGTAGCGACATCAAACGGGGGGGGGGAGAAAAGGTGGTGCACGCTAAAGGAAAGCTGTCAACTGCAGTTGTGCAATGAACCAACGAGGAATATATACATACACATATACGTATGCATTTACATACAAACATATACACAAGTATATATATAAATTTTTTTGGGATTTCTCAGGAAATTCTATGCTACTTTGAACTCCAACTGTTTGTAATCGAACGAAAGCATTCAGGCATGACAAATTCATTCAGAAATTTATCCAACCCAACGCACACACTAACCGCGCAGTCAATTACATAAGTATATGCATGCATATCCTCATGTATAGGCTCAAATATACGCTTGAAGGTCAGTGCTGATGTTTGCAGGGGTAAAGATAGGCTGTGAAACACCCAAAGTGTATATAGGATGACAAATACAAAGAAATGAAAATTTAATTTCCTCTTAGATACATTTATAAACAGAGTTCGTACACTTACAATAAAAATTATCAAAATCATTTTTCGATTGATGTTAGGTTTTGAAATCAAAACATATGGAAAAAATCTTATTGCATATAGGGAATAAGCGAAGTTATATTAAACCCTTTGGTATAAAAAGATCTTCATCTTAATTTAGATCGGCCGATTTGAAGCTATAGCAGCTGTAGTCCGATCTGAACAATTTGTTTAGAGATTATACCTTTAGCTTAGACAATAATCCGTGCTAAACTTCGAGGAAGTTATTTTGTAAAATCAAAAAGTTTTTCATACAGGAACTTTGTTTGAATCGGATAGTTCATATAGCATATAATGCTATACTTGTAGATGTCGGAGCTGTGCAATTTATTCGGATCTATGCAAAATTTCATGAAGATATCTTAACTAATAAAAAAGTTTTGACATCCGTTTGTATGGCAGTTATAACCTATAGTAGCCCGATATCGGCGGTTCGGCAAATGAGTGGCTTCTTGGGGAAAAAAAAAAATTTTCAGAACGATATCTTAAAAACTGATGAGACCGCGTGTGCCGTTACCTGCATGAAACATTAGACGTAAGGTGTTATTAAGTCGTTTCGTGACCATGAATATACAATAGATAAAGCCAGAGATCAAAGAACAGTCGAAACAATGATATTCATCCGGCGAACCTACTTCGAAGAAGGCAAAGATATAAGCCGGACAGCTGAAAAGGGCAAAGCGATCACAAGGCGATAAATAGTAATGTGACCAAATATAGGATAATCTACTCTCCAGTAACTCTCCACTTACAGGACATATTACAATAATTACAGTTATTGCAGGGAAAATAAGTTAAGTAAATTAAATTGGCAACCCTATTTTCGATATTCTTCCCCCAGAGTTTTCAATGTTTCGCTTCGTGATAGGTTTGCATTAATCTGCTTAGCCATGCCTGGTTTGTATTGTTTATACTCACATTTTCAAATTTTATTAAATGTATTTTTTGTAACAATTTCGGTTAAATAATTCAAAATCAATTGTGAAAAGTTTGAGAAGAGAATGAAAGTTACAATTAAAAATTTAGACCAGAAGAGTTTCGTAATCAACACCTACGGCTTGAAAACAGTTTCAGATTTAAAACGTAAACTCTACAATGTCGCCGTTACAAATCTTCTACCCGAACGACAACAACTCCTCTATGCTGGACGCGTGTTGAAGGACAACAAATTGCTCTCATCTTACTCCATAGATGAGCGTAAGTTTTTGTTGGTGATGGCAAGAAAGCCGTGGAGAACGTTGAACACTGGTGAATCAATCCAACAAACAACCAACAATAATAACAGTATCAACAAGAACAAATGTATGACAGAAAAAATTGGGCAAACCCGTAAGCCCGTAAACGTGGATCAAGGAGACGAATTAAATAACAAAGGAATGGCAAGAGACATGAATGAACAAAGAAAAGTCCGAATAAAACACATTAAAAAGAAGCGAAACAGCAGAATTTTGATGGCGAAAAGTTCTATCAAATTGAAGGCAACCAAAAGCGTAGCAAAGAAAACACATAAGCTACAAAATAAATTTAAAATTACGACATCTTCAAGCGCTTCGTTAACGCACAAGAATTGCCGAGCCAACAATAATAAAAGAGGAGATTCAACAAGCTCTATAGAATCAACCGATTCACAGCAAGCAAGACGTCGATGCAATAAAGCCAAAGTTACAACTAACAACAAAACAATGAAATCAACAAAATTCTTGCTGAGCACCACCAGATTACACGCAACGAAGAAAGCAAGTAAAATGCGTGGAACGACGCGAAAAATTTTGAAGAAATCAACACAAAATCAAGTTTGCGATGAGCACGTACTGCGACAAATTGTGGCTATGGGCTACAATGAGGATGATGTTCGACGCGCTCTAGCCACTTGCTTCAACAATCCCAACGAAGCTGTCGATTACCTTATAGAGCAGGTGCAAGAGCGCGTCGGACACCAAACCACAGCAAAACAGCGACAGCGGCAACAACCCGCAAATCTGCAAAAAGCTAAAGCAGCAGAGCAGACGAAGTTCAACCAAGCGAACGCCTTGGCATTTCTGCGACAAGATCCAGACTTCAAAAATCTGCGACGACTTTTGCGTAAACGGCCGAACGTGCTGCAGGACGTCATAAAACGTATCGATGAAACTCAGCCAGAGTTGCTGTTAATGCTGAAAGAGCATGAGAGTGAGTTTCTGCAGCTGTTGCACGAAAGCAGTGCGGAATCGGAGGATGAGCAGTGCAACCATTGCAACTATAATAATATGCATATATCGCCGGAGGAGGAGAAGCATATAGCGCGTTTGGTGCGAATGGGTTTCAAACGTCAGATGGTGATCTTAGCCTTCATCGCTTGCGATCGTAATGTCGAGAGGGCTGTGGATTATCTCTGTCGAATCGATGACATACACATTTAAGCGAAGAAATCGGTATATACATATATATACTTGTATATATATATAAAGTCAGATTTAGTGGAAGATATTTTTATAATTAATTTATTTTAATTTGGTGTTTTTGAAAATTTCTTGTATTTTTACCATTTAAGTATTTTTAACTGAATAAAATTTAGACTGCACAGCTTAGCCATTTTATCAAAATAAATGCTATGAACAAAAAAAACGAAATGCACTATTTATGCCAGTGCATTTTCGTTACCTGGAATTCAAATAACAAATATAAATTTAAAAAACAAAAAATGCAGTAATTTATTTACAGAAAATTTGATGGGGTGATGGCCTCGTGGCGGTTAATTTTCCCTAATCCTATTTATTTAATCGTTTCCACATTTTATTGCATCGCTTTATCGAAAGGGATGAGTTATTTCAGCCCTTTGAGTTATCATTGCATCTTAGCGAGCGTTCAGTGTTTTGTTGTTGTGGTGCGCATGTGCAGTTTGGTAGTTTTAGTTGATTTTTAAGCACAAAGTCAAATAGGAGAAAAGGTTGATAAATAGCTAGCTAAGGGAACTCCGTAAATTAAGGGTAGTTTGTTAGGATTTTCTAAATCCAATCTAAATATTACTATACTTCAACATAGTTTTAAGATAAACATTGCCCTCAATTAGAGCCTGACAAAGTCGAAAGTTAATTGTTCTCATCGCAGAAAGTAATTATAAAATTTGCTCTTTCTTATTTGTAAGATTTTTTTAACTGTAACAGTGTAAACGGGTCCCAAAACTTTCACGGAGGTTCTGTTATTTACTTCCGAGTGAATTTCAAGCAAATCTATTTTCAATCCGACACTGTTTTTAGAGTTTCAAAACGGTCGATTTTTTCACACGATCTTCTTAGATATATTTGTTAGGTAATGAATGAAAGGAAGGAATTCGATTTTTGATAATAATTTCGATTTTTTAAGCCACTCTGAAGTGTAAATTTTTTGTGGGAAGCCGCCATTTTGACAAATATCAAAAATTTCACTAGTCCTTCGGTTATTACCTCTCATCTATTGTAATAAATAAATTTTTTAGATATCGGCTCAGATAAGATCAGTTATTTGGACTTGGCTTTGTCCTGGGAGCGAAAACTCAGTCATTCGAAAATCAATTATTCAAAAACTATGAAGAGCGAAGCTTAACTGCCTTTACTATGATCTTTCAATTACAAGTTTTGGGCTTAAATATGCCCTTCGAATCAGGCCTGCAAATACGGTTCTTGAAAATCTTTTAACAAAATGGTACATGTCTCCACCAACAATTGATAATAAAATACTCTTGAACAATGGTAATGGTTTAAATGCTTTCGGGTCAGCGGATCTGCCGGTTATGTAGCCTCGATTGTTTGGGTAAGGGTTGATGGTGTCGTTTAACGGACCCTATTTGGCGGAAAGCTAAATCAGTTGTCATCGAGATCATCTAACGTTAGGAAGAGGAAACGAGCTACCTTGACGAGGTCGTATCATAGGGAAATGGGGGTGGGTTTCTAAAGGTATACAAAGGTGTAGCTCGTGGATTTAACCCAATTTTAGAATGCGAAATTTTACTTACATTGAGTGATTCACAGGTAAGGAGTTCGCGAAGCTGTTCATTGCCTGTCTTTGGAATTATATGCCCGATGGATGAATATGAGAGTTTTAAATGATTAAGGCAGAAGCTAATAACACTACTCAACAAATATGAAGGAAAAATTTGCACTGAAAACTTACGACTGATGTACTAACAGGTCTATGGGGGTATTTGAGGTGTCCAGATTTCGAATTTGAGTTCAAAAATTTACCATCACGTATAGCTATTTTTGTCATTTTAGCAAATGGTGGTGCTTTGACCCCTACACCACTTGACTACAACACAAATAATCCTACGTGTGAAGAAATTTTTACTATCATTTTCGGTTTTAGCAAAAAACAGCCTCTAACATCACAGTCACAAAATGACTGTAAGCTAGTGTAATGGATGAGAAACCAGTCGGTCTCTACAATCTTAGATAGACTAAATACTATCCGATCAAATCTGACGCGGACTGGTCTGTTTAAGCTGCGCGCCCGAACCGAATCGACATTTTTTTTTCCTAAATTGGTAAACCTTTTTTTTTTAAGTGTTGAAATTAGAGAGATACCCCAAAAAACCAGACTCGCTGAATGCACTGAAGGCCAGCCCAGCCGAGACTTACAAAAAGTAAATGGAAAATTGAATTAAGCGTTGGCATGCTTCTATTGGCTCAACATTTTTTTTCTTAGTCCGAGTCAAATTTGATCAGATGGTAAATAACTCCAAAAACCTCTAAGGCCCTAATAGTAGCAATAAAAAGGGATGATCAAAACGATGGTGACAATCCCTTGGTAAGACGGAGAAACAACTTATTTTCTTTTCATTGGATTACTTTTCCAATTACACAACAAACGGATATTTATGGTATTTACCTAGAATTATCGAAATTCAATAACCACTTACCTTAAAGCTCATTTGTACGTTCGGCGAATTCGCCATCGACGGCATTTGCATTGCTTTGGTATTTGTTGTTGCTGCTGCACCAGTTGTTGCTGTAGTTTTCTCGTTGTTTTGTTGTTTAGTTGTAGTTTTATTTTTTCTTTTCGTATAAGTGCGTTTGGTGCGTTTGTAGCGTCTTGGCCGACAGTTGAGAAACTCAATTTCATGCTCATTCACCGCCGGTGGTGGGGGAACCGGTGCCGATACCGGCGCATAACCCATATAATCGAAAGTATTTACATTCGGCATGACATTGCCAAGATTTTGTGGTTGTAATTCTAGTTGCGGATATTGTGGCTGGTATTGTTGTGTTTGTTGCATGGTCTCGTAGATCATTGTGCTCGCATCGAAGGGTGCAGGCGGTGTCACCGTTGTAACACCACCACTGGCATTGACATTTTTAAAGCGACCGGTCATTGCATTTAAATATTCCGGCATTTTTTCACTTTATTGTTCTTGTCTTTTTTTTATTATATATTATTAGTTTACACAGTAGTTTGGGTTTTGGGGTATTTGTGAATTTTGCTGTTTAGCTGCAATAAAATTTACAATTTTTGTTATAAAATATATTCAAATTTTTAATTTAAGACAAAAATATTGTAACGAATACTGCTAAAGTAAATGTTAATAAATATATAATTATTAAAATTTGTTATTTATTTACTTTTTTTATTGAAAATATTTTTTATTTTGAATTTTATTTTGTTTTAATTTCTTGATTATTATTTTTTTAATTTTACAATTTTTTGTATATAATGGATGTAGCGTTTTCCCTGTATGAAAAAAACAACACAATTTTTAATTTCAGCCCAGTAAATGCCATTTTATTTCTGAATTCATTTAATGTTTATATTATCCATTTGTATCGCATTTTTTTAATTTACTTGTAATTATATTTTGTGATAAATAAATAATTCAATCTATTGTAGCCTGCTTATAGTTATCACGGTAGTAGCTCAAGCAATTTAATTGTTCAAACGCTTCTTTATCTCATTCCCCAATTCGGCCAGTGTTATCTCCTCCTCCTTGCGTGTACTCACTTCGCGTAACTTTACAACGCCTTTGGACAATTCCGAGTCACCAAACACCACTGCGAAAGGTATTTGGTTTTCCTCACAGTACTGCAACTGCACTAACAACTTAGGATTTAGTTTATAAGAGTGTTCAGCCTTTAGAGAAATAACACACAAAAATTTTGAGTTTTCAAATGCCATCGTAATTAGTAAAATAGACAGCTCTTACCTTGATGCCTTGGTCCCAAAGGCTATTTAAAATGCTCAAACGCTTTTCGTGCAAGCCTTTATGTGCCGATGCCACATACACCTCTACCTCGTTGGTGCGTGTCTTAACGCCGGCTGCAGCATTTTTGGCTTCCAACACCGAAAATATACGTTCGACACCAATGGAGACGCCAACGCATGGCACCTGCTTGCCTTTGGGATCGAACATGCCGACAAGGTTGTCATAACGACCACCGCCAGCCACTGAACCGACAGCGCCTTGCTCCTCCGCAGCATCAGCACCATTCTGCACAATCTTCGGCTCGGCTTTCAGCACACACTCATAAATAACGCCGGTATAGTAGTCAAGGCCGCGTGCCAGACTTAAGTCGAAGCTAATCTTTGGCGACAAACCCATTGCATCGCAGTACTTAAGCAGCAGCTGCATACTTTCCAAGCCTTTTACGGCACTAGATACAGCTTTCAATTTTTCATCAGCTTGTAGCTGTGCAACAAGGTCAATACCACCATTCAGACGCACATATTCACCAATTTTATCAGCAGCGACAGCATCCAGCCCCTTTTCATCAATCATTTCCTTACGCACTTCAAGCCAAGGAGACTAACAGAGAACAACAAAGATAAACATGAAATACATTATAAATGAAGATTTGTTTGTTTTGTGTAACTTACCTTATCCAACTTATCTACAGCGGAGCAAATAGTACGGAACTTATCGGCAGGTACACCACACGCCTCGAACATGCCATCCAATAATTGTCGATGATTAATTTTAATCACATATTCGCCAATGTCCAATGTATCCAACACTTCAGAAACAATTTTCACGCACTCCGCATCTGGCAGCATGGGATCAAAAGTGCCGGCGATATCAAAATCGCATTGATAGAACTCACGATAACGACCGCGTGTCATAGCGGGATTATCACGCCGGTATACTTTGGCAATGTGATAGCGCTTTAAAGAAGATATTTTACTCATAGCCAGGTAACGTGCTAGTGGCACAGTCAAATCATAGCGTAGCGACAAAATTTCACCACCTTGATCTTTGAGATCGTAAATGAGTTTTGAATCCTCACCATACTTGCCAGTAAGCACCTCCTAAAAGTAATTACAAAACAAACATTTTCATTAAGGAAATGTTAGTGAAATCGACGCCCACTAACCTTCAACTCAAATACAGGCGTATCGATGGCTTCGCCACCATGTTTTTTAAAGACCGCCACAATCTTATCCAGCACGCCCTGCCGCAGCATCATCTGCTGTGGTGAATAGTCGCGCGTACCTTTTGGCGTCTTTAGCGTAAACTTCTGCGGCGTTGCGGGGCCATCGCCGAGCTTCGCTTTCAGCGCTAGCAAACGCGCTACCTCTTCATCTATCTGGAAATCCAATAAAAAATAATACAGTTTCGGTTTTTCAAATTGTATACATTATTTAATGGATGTACTAAAGCTAACCTGCGCCAGTTGTTGTTCTAGCAGAGATGCCTCTTCATCAGTCTCATTATTGCTGTTGATTGTGTGGCTTTTCTTTTTTCTATGTGAAATTTCATTTGTTGGAGCACTTTCGAATTGCCCCACCTTATAGTTGGTGGCGCAGTGACGACACGATTGCAGATCTGCGGGCCCGAATTTATGCTCGCCGCTGAACGTTGTACACACAAATGTGGGCCAATTTATTATTGGCCGACTTTTTGTATGACCAATTAAGTAAGCAGTTTGACGGCCAATCGAACGCAACATTTTTTTTTTCTTTAAATCGTTAATAGGATTCTATAGTTTTACTGATTATCTCGTTTACAAAATTTTACTCAATATGAGTTCGAATAATCTTGTGTGGACAATTTTTGGTAAAGATTTAATAAAACGCGCCGATTTGTTTAAACCTAAACAACAACAATAATGAAACTGATTAGAAATTGTCTCCGAGTGGAAAAAAACAAATATATTCTTAGAGAAATTCGTAACTTACGAAGCTATTTTTTTACGGTTAATAGTTGACGCGTATGAACAACAACAGAGATTATTTACAAACATATTAGGCAAAATTATTTATTGATGAAAATGAAGCATTACTAAGCGTGAAGTTAATGGAATGGAATAGTGTGAATGAAGATGATGTGTTATGTAATCAGATATGTGTGTATAATTGAAAAAGGATACATAAGGAAATATTTTACACAAATTATGGTGCGCCTAAAACCAAAATATATTAAAAAAAAAATATTGCGTTTAATTTTTGATACATGAAATCGTTCGTACTCTGCTAAAATTCAATTGGAATAGAAAATTTATTTCATATGATTGAAACATTCCGTAATATGAGCATGAGTCAACGACCGTGTAAAAATTAGTTACTGTACCAGATAATAATGAAATGAAAATTTTATTATTTTACCTTACCAGACTAAATTCTACAAACGGGAGACTATTTAACTTTTTTTTTCTAAAATATTGCATTCCATCGGCCACAAATTGCTGCGTTGGAACACTTTAATATAATATGATTGAATATTTATTAGTTATACCTTGTTTAAACATTTTCTTTTCATGAGATAAAAATTTAAGAAATTGTTTATAAATGTATATCTACATACCTACCTGAAATATGTATGTTTCCAATAACAAAAATAAATATTTCCAAACATGTTTTCATAGAAAACTAAACGTTGTTTATGAATACCCATAATATAAAAATTATTGAAAATCAAAATTTAAAAGGTAAGCTAAAAATTTGCAAAAAAAAATATTTTGAAAAAATTATTCCACAAGAATATAATTTAGAGAAATAGTGAATGATATATTCAAGAAGAAAAAAAAACATGTGTGAGCATATACAAATACATTTGTATGTATGCTTACACATTTTAGCATCTAATTAGCTACACTATTGTGTATAGTGATCTTCTGTCTTATTACATTAGAATATACATATGTATGTAGGTAGAAGAATAAGATGCAACTCGTCTAAGTGCTTATGCATGTAGATATTGTAATATGTGCATTGACATTTCAAGGTAATTGGAGCGCCAGCTTAAGCATCATAACCAATGCAGAATTGCAGTTAGTTATCACATTCAAGTTCAAAAAATATATATGTATAAGAGTAATCGACGCAAGAATTACAGCCAGTTTAGGAACATGAAATAACATTTGTAAACGACCGCTGCACGCGGCAAGCCCCTAAAAATTAATACCCACAATACCGTTACACGTAACCGCCGTTTGCATATAAACGACATTACCTTTGCTTGCAGAGCATAGTATGGATATACATATGTGTGTGCAATTTTTTTAAACAAAACAAAAAAATGCCTTTAGTGCTTCGGAACACTACAAACCGGTCCATGGCACTACACTGAAGTATTATATACAAGGTGCCTGAGCAATAACAATAGTCATTACTTATTTTAGTTGCTGGCCAATTTGATTCGAAAGTGAATGTTTGACGAAAATCTGCCAGCTCTACAGACTTACATTGTATATTTTGTGGTAATTTTAGGTAACCGGGCAAGCAGTCTGCACAACCAAAGCGCAGCAGGCTAACCCCCTCTCCCCCCGCACGAAACGCTCTATTACATTCATTATTAATTATGGTAGACGCGAGTCAATGCTGCTGCAGCAATGAATCACCCGAAGACAGTAGATACCCTGTCAAAAACTAACAACACCAACAATAGTAAAGCAAAGAGTTTTTTTTTTTTGAAGGTTTTTGCAAGACATTCTAATTATCTGACGAAATCTCTACAAAAATTAACGAATATTCTTTTAATTTCCGAAATGTGTACAAATTATTATTATATACATTTACTTCGAATATATACATATATACATATAAAGCATGTTGAAGTATTTTGTTTTAGTAACTTGACTTAAATATGGGTTCAAGAATACGAAAATGATAACAAATATAACACCAATTTAATATGATTTGAGTCTCGGGGAAATAGCTGCAGTGATGAGCTTACCTTTTCTTTGGTTTCCTTGGCCGCTTTAAGTTTTCTAACTAAATCGCCCTGAATTTTAATTTCTCCGAGTATCTGTTCACGCGTCTCACTCATTCTATTCTACACAGGTGTTAGTTTTTTCTAATTCACAATTTTAATGTATGTTGTTTTTTTTACAGATGTAGTCCCGTTTTTAAGTTCGATTGATGCAAATTATATTACTTCAAATTTTCACTCACTTTGCACACTAGTCTACTTACAGAAATAGTCTAACACTATTTGTATTACTTCATTCAATATTCATTTATTTTATTTATACAAAATAATGCAGGAAAATGTATTACCAAGCACAAAACGCACACGCGGTGGAAAATGCAAGTTGAACGAATACGTTGCTGCTGCAGAAAAGGTAAATTATTTGACAGTTCTTTTTGACATTTTCTCTGTCAAATATGTTCGCAAATAAGCTCAGAGTTGCCCAATCGTACATAGCAATAAATGCACAATAGTTCAGCAACTAGGCCGAACTTCCAACAGATTTGGTTTGTTAACAGTAATGAAATTTTGACAGAACAATTTTATTTTCCATCGTTATTTTATCAGCTCAAACTAACGGCTCCCACGACAATTAGGTATGTAATCCGAATAGAATTATATACATTAAAACAAAGTAGTAGATTACAAAAACAACCTACCTCCTTGGAAATTGATGTATAATTAGGTGCTTAACAATGTTAGCATCAATAGATGCTGTCACTTTGTGCATTAATGTATTTGTATAAACCCTTCTTATGCGTGTGCGTGTATGTTATACCTGTGGACTAAATCACAACAATGATGAATGAATAACGTTTTTCTGTTAATAATTGCAAAAATTTATTTTTCACTTTTAATAGTTGTATTTACGTATACAATCCAAATAAACTTTTAGCGAAAATCTTAAATAAACGTACATATGTAAATGTTTATGTACAGTAATATGTAAAAATATTGTGGCTAGATTATACTAATTGAAAGCAAAGCATTTCTCACAATGAAAACAAATAAAAAGTTTAACAAAGTTTGTATAAATTGGGGAAAGCAGTAAAAACAACCAAATAACCGAGTGTAATTTAAATTGTAGTTACATAATAATTAATGCTATGCTATTGCGAACTATTTTACCGAGTACTCAAGCACTCTTTATGCGTTAACTTATAGTTTTTGCTTTTTCGCCAACATCTTGCGACGTTTTTCGATCGCCTCCAATTTCATGTCCTCCAAGTCTTCTTGTATTCCAATTTTTTTGCTAATATATTCTTCACGCTGCACTTGCGCAAAGTTTGATTCCATAGCAGCATCATCATCATCATCTAAATCACGATACCTACACATAATATAAGAAAATATAATTAACTAAATTCGTTTACAACAATAACGACGAATAACAGTTGAATTTCTTGTAGCAATGTATGTACATACTTCTGTTTATCATAGCCGAATATAGCACGAATATGTGACGAAACATCTTCTTCTTCATCGCCATCGTCAATAAAGTCGTCCATCTCTGAATCGTATTCCGAATCATCATCTTCAATACGCAGTCCTATGAAGTGAGAATAAGATTTATTTTGAGCCTGCGTTTTGTTTTTCATATAAATTTTAAAACTCACTTTTATTTGGTTGTAGCTTCTTTGTTTCCCTGCCGCGATTGCGCTGCACATTAGACGGTGGAAACTGCCTCGTCTTTTGTACATCTGGAGGAGGAAACTGCCGCGGTTTCACAGATTTCATATCACGGGGTGGAAACTCGCGAGTTGCACCATTATTTGGATTCTTACTCGACGAACTGCCATAAGGATTCTTACTGCTGCTGCTGCTGCTGGCTGAGGCACTGGTAGATGATATCGATTTTGTACTAACTGACGAAGGTTTATATGCTGCGGAATGAGATTGTTTGGCACTTGTTGAAGAAATAGCTGCGGCAGATGAACTCTTCACATGTGAACTCAATGTATCCTTTTGTGATAATATTGAAGCCGATGCGGATGAAGAGTGTTGCTTTTTAATACCATTAGTCCCGCTAACAATAGTCGAAGATTTAACAGTAGAACTTTTATTACTTGAGGATTGTGCTGTCGTTGTAGGCGTAGGCTTGGTTTGGTTTAATTTTGGTATACGTCCATTTGGTTCCATGCGGTTTGGTACACTCGACGTCGTGCTACCGTTTTCTCGGCGTTCCTTTCCCGCACTAACTCCAAGTGTGCGTTCCTTTTCTCGTTCTCGATCTCTGCGTTCACGTGCTTCCTTAGCACGCTGTCGCTCCTCCATTTCCTTTTTCTCCTTCATTGTCAACAAACGTTCTGGTTCTTTTTTCTTAACAACTGGAACTATTTCAACCGGTTCATGCTGTTTTTGCTCAGCTAATTTTAGTAAAGCTTTAAAGTCCATTATAGGCGGTGGTGGTTTTCTACTTTTTTTACGATTTTGTTCCTCTTCTCGTTTTTTTCGTTCCTCTTCACGCCGTTCCGCCTCGGGATCATAAAGAGGTTTGGAAGAACTTGATCGACTTACACTGGGTTCCTTAATACTGCTAGACAAACTAGTGTTACTATGTGATATCCTCTGTCCTTTTAAGCCTCTTTTTTCTTCAATTTCACGTGTAATGGCAGCTTTTACCCGTTCCTTTGTTCCTGAGAGGTCTCTTAGTGATTGGGGTCTACTTGGTGCAAAGCCTTTGTCCTCTTTTACGTCTTTCACCTATATAAAGATGATTTTAGTACAAAAAACTTATTAATAATGAATATACAGTATATACCTTTTCTATATATTTTGCATAAAAAGCGTTTGCCTCGTTTGAAACATATCCATAATCATCCTGATCGGGCTGGTCAGGTCCTGAGATCGTAACTGCTGTGTGATCTGTATTTATTGCATCATCCAATACCGATTTATTGGCAGATTTTGTGACTTTTAGCATTTTTCTTATCTTATTTTTTGATTTTTCATCTCGCATTGCCAATAAGTTAGCTAGTTTTTGTTGTTTTTCCTTTTCACGTTCACGCTCCTCCTGCTCACGTTTTTGTAAAAACTTTTGTATATTCGTCGATAATTTTTTCTCCTTTGATTCTTTTTTCGGTGGAGCGAATTTAGTACTATAATATTTACCCTAGACAATAAAAAAAAATATTTATTTGGTTCCACATTGTATACGATTGTTACGCATAAGAGTGAAAAAAGACAATGGAGATAAGCAGAAGATTGAAAAAATACACAATGGAGATAAGCAGAAGACAGTTTAATCAGAAATACTCTGATTTGCAAGTTAAACAATCCACCAATTATGCAGAGCCTTTTCATGTATATACCAGAATTAACCAGTAAACTTGTTAAGAGATTTGTTTTTTTATGGAATTCAGTTTCGAATAAATATAATATTGTGTAGTAACTTATCCTAAAGAATAATACATGATCCTGCCACGTATTATTCACTATTTAATTGCTTATATTTGGGTGGTATTGAACCCACTGAACAGCTGTTTAAAGTATTCTTACCTCATTTTTACTGTTTTCACTATTTTTCTTTGCCACATGAAGCAAAGTTCCGAAATCCATTTTATGTAACCTGCTATATAGATTTAGATGATATTTTCTTTTTAAATTGCTTTGATACTAAGCAGTTACATGTATATTAAAAATGTCGCGTTACTTTTCTGATTTTGCAAAATTTGAGAACATGAAATCTGAACTAATTTTTTATGAAGACTGACAGAAAATTAACACTGCTGACAGATATATATTACGATCCGATAAATAGTTGGAAATTCCCCAGGGTTGATTTTTGATCCCATAATATGTGTAAATTGCAGGATTGCCAGAAGCAGGAATTATTTAAATTTAAAATTTTACTGTTTTTTCGCAAAATTCACCATGTTAATGAGTTTCTCTATATCAATAAAAACTAATAACATTTTGTACAATTTTTGAATATGACAAAATTAACGTTTTTTATAACATTATTTATTTCCATAGTAGCCAGATCGGACAAAATATAATTTTCGGGCATATAAATGAAAATACCCAACATTTATTATAACGTATTGGTTAAACATATGAATAAACTATTTAAATCCATTTTTGTGATATGTTAAAAAATTAATTTTTAAACATTCATTACTTAAAAAGTGAAAAAATGTTTTTTATTATTTTCAATTGGAAATGAATACTACGAACCATCGCTTTAGAAAAGATTTCATTACATACATTTGAATTTCGCGTTTTCTTTAATTTTCATTGTTTTCCAATTTTTGTTAGTGATCTTCAACAACGGGATCAAATCTCTCTGTTCACATATTATTTATGATATACATATAATCATATTTAATATTAATAAATGTGGGTGTTTTAATTTAGATGCCCAAAAATTATTATTTTGACTGATCTGGCTACAAAGGAATACGTTAGAAAAACGTCAAAATTTCATTTTTATATGTCAGAATTTTAATTTTCTACCGTTTGGCACACAGCCAAAAAACGCTAGTTTTGAGTGCGTTAACTGATTAAGAATTTGCTTTCAAGTTGATCACACAAACTATTGTCAAAATTGATTTAAATTGACAGCTCGACCTAGGCTGCAAGCAACTAGATAATCAATGATAGTTTCAAGATGCCATTTTCATGTAATGTATTGATATACTTATATTTTGATATCAATTCATATATATTATGAAATATTCATATTCCCGACAATTGCATGTTATTTTTTTGGCAAAATTATGTGATTAGCTGTTAAAACTTGATCGTCAACTTGCCACTATACTAGAATGAGAAAATTGATATGAAGACGGCTTTAAAGCAGTGAACTTAGAAGAACGAGAAGGTGCAAATTGAATTTTGTATGATGCTCGATTGGACGGCTAACAGAGCTGAAAAATTCAGATCAGGGAGTTTATTCTTCTAAGGGTTCTGGTCACACAAGCCCATACACGAGTAAACCTCACTTGCGCACGTATCGACTGTATATATTATAATATAATAATGTTACAATAAAATATTAACCTCTTAAATGCTAAATATATATATTTTTATTCTTTCATGGCAACTCTGGTGTTATTTCTCTTTGTTATTGTAAAATTACTCTCTTTAAATACTCTTCATAACTTCAAGCTGGGAGCCTATTTTTCATCTTTAGTGGCAACTCCAAGGAGCGATTTCATTTCTTTCTTTCGTATTATTCATCATTGTCTCCTAAAAAATTCCGGAAATTCCTTCATGAATTCCGTCATCATTTTATTAAACCCATCGTAGTTCATTTCATAATCAATCATAAATTTATGAGTTAGTAAAGTTGAATTTATTTGTGTGTACCGGTGTATTGAGGTAAATACTTTGACTAACCCCAGCACAACAAAGCAAATCGAACTTCAGAGTTTAATCGATGGCTGGTCAACGCCGCAATGAAAACCTCAGTGAAGCAATGCAACGTTTACAAATGGGGGAGGATAAAAGTGGGCTTAACTCGTCAAAGTACCCTGCAGTAGCGAATTATATTCGACAGCATGCAGGCAATACTCCTATACAGCAACAATCTGCAGAGGAGTATAAGTTATACGAGCGTACAAATATAATTGCTTCTTCTAAGTATGCCACACCCCGTCCAATTGAGCAGTTGGCAGCTGATGCGAATATAAACAATGTTTCACTTCCCCAACCAGTGTCCAATGGGATCGGTCAGACAGGAGGCAATAGTCCTCTGTATACTGGACGCAATGTCATGTATGAAAAAAAGTTATCAACGAAACAATCTCCAGTATATGAAAATCTCGAATTTTGCGGCGGCGCGGTTGGTGTTCCAACAGACTCGTACTTTGAATCTGCACATAAACGCGCACAACCTCAAAGTCCCACAGCAAATCCGTCGCGCGGCCAATATATGATAATGCATGCCAGCACCAGTAGTGGGCGTTTTGCTCATACACCAGTACCGGAACATCATGCTGACACGGCGCCTATCTATGAAAATATTATACCACATTCCGGACAACGTGCACAACCACAAGCTTCACCGGCGACTGCCACTATTTATCAACATGCGGAGATATCACCACAATTGAGCGGTGCTGGTAATGGTATAGTAACGCCACTAGCGCCACATCATATACGCGACAATTCTGGACTGGATATGTCGGCTGTCTTGGCATCGCCTATGCATCGGCGTAGTACATCGAATTCTTCATTAAAAACAGCAGCGTCCAACAGTACTGCCGCTGCTACTGGTGGTGGTAGCGGTTTATCATCTCCTACACAGCGCTATCGCAACCTTTCCTTGCCCAGTCACCCTAACAGTATACAAACATCGCCTGCAAAATCGTTGGCTTCTAGTACAGCTAGCAGTAACGATTACAAGTTGTTGCAGCACACACCAATCAAAAACACAGTAAATAAACTAAAAGTGTCATAACTTTTGCCATTTTTATTATTTTTTTCATATTCCTTATTTTTTTGGAACAGCATCACATTCCCAGTAATCACCCCATCATCAATGTTTCTGTTAATCCTAATTACATTGAGGAAATCAACAGTTCCGATTATGTTTGTATGACAGCCAACTTGCACCGCCAGCCAGCTAGAAGCCCTACAGGAGGCTTACAGTCTCTACGTTCAAACACCACTGCGCTCGCTTCAAGCAGTAGTGGTTACCGCAAGTTGTGTAATGAGTCGCCCGTTTATATAGGCAGCAGTAGTGGTGGCAGTGAGCTAGATAAAGCTTCTATATTGACTGGTGCACGCAAAATTTCGCCAATGAGCGAACGAAAATTTACACAATCACCACTTGCTATACCGCAGCGTCCTATATCATCAGGTGGTGGTGTGGCATCATCCATATCACCAACACCATCTCAAAATAGCACTGGTAGGATATCGTCTTACTACTTACGTCTATGTATAAGTAACACACGTTATTTGCTTACATTATAGGCCTCTCGAAAAATCTGCTACCATATAGCGTCACACCACCACGTCCCACCGGTCCTACCGAAGCCCAGCGCAAAATCGAAGAGCTCACACGCCAACTAGAGGAAGAAATAGAACAAAGCGAAGAGCAGGGCGAGTATTTTGGTAAGTTATTGCATGCTGTTGTTGTTACCTACAACTTATTTTCATGTTTCTTCCTATTCCTATTTACAGGTATTTGCCATACGTGTGGTGATAAAGTGAAGGGTGCTGGTCAGGCTTGTCAGGCTATGGGCAATTTGTATCACACGAATTGCTTTATTTGTTGCTCTTGCGGACGTGCGTTGCGCGGTAAGGCGTTTTATAACGTGCATGGACGCGTTTATTGCGAGGAAGACTATATGGTAAGTATAATGTTAGATTTATTTTTTGTTTTCGGTGTCAATATATGTATATTATTTTTTTTTTTATAGTATTCGGGTTTCCAGCAAACGGCAGAAAAGTGTGCAATATGCGGACATTTAATAATGGAGATGGTATGGGGCTCATTCGTCGTTCAATTTCAGTTAATTTTTTTTTATTTTTAATATGCTTTTAATATCTAAATCACAGATTTTGCAAGCGATGGGCAAATCTTATCACCCCGGCTGCTTTCGCTGTTGCATTTGCAATGAGTGTTTAGATGGTGTTCCCTTTACGGTGGATGTGGATCATAAAATTTACTGTGTAAATGACTATCATCGCATGTTTGCACCAAAATGCGCTAGTTGTGGCAAAGGTATTTAAAAAACCTTTTTTTCAACGTGATTTTAAGATACAATTGCTGTTTTCCAGGCATAACACCTGTAGAGGGCACTGATGAAACAGTACGAGTCGTCTCCATGGATAAGGACTTTCATGTCGATTGCTACATCTGTGAAGAGTGTGGCATGCAGTTGACTGATGAGCCCGATAAACGTTGCTATCCCTTAGATGGACGTCTATTATGTCGTTCATGCCACTTGCAATGTTTGGCCATGCAGCAATCTTCGCCACACGTTCGGCATCAGGAGCCCGTATGCGCATCATACCAATACATGGGTTAAAGGAAAAAGTTTGAGAGCTTAAATGCGAATTCATACATAATTTACTCATATTATGCATTCCTAATATTATACGCGTATGGAAGGATCAAAATTTAGTACATAAGTCGTACAGTTAAACGCACAATTTTTTTTTACCTATTACTTTTGGAAGTAATATTTTATGTTTATGAAAAAGACACTCTGCACACAGAGGAATCCAGTGTGACAAACAATGTTATGCAACAACTAAACAGCTAGTTGTGTAACACTTAATAATCCTAAAAAACAAAAAAACATGCATACAACTGTCTAATGTGTACTCTTTACATACATGCAATACGCAATGTGGAATTTATCGTATTGGTGGTTTTGGATGCGCTTTGTAATGCTCACGCAACTGCATTTACATACATAACTCAAATATGTATGCATATTAAATAATAAAATAAAGGTTCACGACGTTGCATTTAAATATAGAAATTAAAATCATTGCAGCTTTTTACTTTTATTTCGTGTAAAATGTTTTATTTTTTTTATTTTTAATTCTTAAAGACCTAAAAGCAGCATACTTTGTAAATTCAGTGCATTAATATTTCCGTTTGTACAAGACGTTTATTTGTGTCGCCTGGCATGCGATATGGTACTGTGGCAGCCATATTTGTAATAGCCTTCGCCTTTTCACGTAAGTGCTGTAGTTGCTGCATAAAAAGAAAATAAATCAATAATTTACTTCAAAATTATTATAATTCAATTGCACTTACGCGATCACGTCCTGTATCAACAATGCCAGTATCACGTCCTTTCACACTTTTATACTGAGCATATAGAATATCCATTGCCGCCAATAATATATCAGGATACACTTTACAAATCTCACCACCCAAGCGCTTGAAATTATTTATGCATTCCTCCAATTCGCTCATAGACAATGGCACGAGTTTGGTGTTGGCGAGTACCTCTAAAGCCAATTGGTATTTTTGCTCGTGATAATAATCGAAGAATGAAACCAGTTCACATAGCAAATTGAAGGTGGAAATAACTTGTGGATCGCACTCAATACGATTGCCTGTAAGGGAAATTGAAAGGAATTTATTTGTGAAAAAATATTAAATTAAACAATTTTAGCATTACCGCGCATTCTTTCTCTAAAATCAGCCGCCATAATTGTCAGACGTTCACGCAAAGAATCCTTTTTCGAACTTTGATGTACGACCTGGGACAGCAGAATCGCCAGGTAACGCAAAGATTGATTTTGCATCTGTGGAAGGATATGGATAATTTGCACGTTAGAAATTTAATAATTTCAATTAAAATATAATTATGGCTTACGCTAGCAATATCAAATAATTTGATGGCGTCCTCGAACATGCCCTTATTCACCAACTCATCTGCAGCCATGCCAGCAGCTGTGCGCGTATCAAATTCAACACAATCGAATTGCTCGAACAGACCGCTAATTTAATCGAAAGGCGAGATGAAAAAATTATATTATATATGGCATAGGATGTATAACTTACCCAGACATAATGCCATTTGGTTGCATTTTACCAAATATCAAATCATAATTACGACATTCAATGGCCAAATCACTGACGCAAACCAAAAATAAATTACGTCCTTCCGGATCTTTAAGATTACGCAAGAAAAAGTAATACTGCAACGCTTCGGCGGGGTCGGTAATTTCAAATTTTTTTACATACAACATAACCAAACGGGCGATATTCAAGCGACGCATTGGCATTGGGTCTTCAATGTCGACAGACACTATAAATAAAAGCAAAGCAGTATATAAACACTGCCGTAAACTCTTACATTTTTTGTATTATTTACTTACGCAATGGCTCTTGGACATTACGAGGTCCACCGATGAGGAACATTTCGTTTAGAGCAAGTGCAATGTGCACTGCATGAGTGCGATATTGCTCGGTACGCGCTAAAAATTCAATAGCTGCCTCAAATTGTCCGGTTAAAGCAAGCACTTGGAAGTAAAGATGACGTTGTTCACTGGCATTGAAATGCTTCTCACCGTATTTTTCGAGTATTATTGTTTGCAAACCCGAGTATGTTAGCACTTCGGTATTGTCATGGGATTCGGGGCGTAGCAAGGACAGTTGAATCCATAAGAAGTCATCGGTAGTTTTCGCAACTTCCAAATGTTGTTCATTTATGTCGCAACCAGCTATTATGCAGTAAACCTGAAAAAACGTAAATGCAAGGTAACGACTTAATTGATTAATTATAAAAAAAATTGCTTTGTTGTACTTACCGCCTTTTTGTATGGATCCGTGGAATTCTTAATTTTATTACAATAATGTAATTTGAGCTGACCCTCCAATTTGGAATTTATCTTCTGCTCTGGCTTGTTTATTTTGTCTTCAAGCACTTGTATGAAATCCTCATGACCGGCACTATTAACGATAAGATATTAAAAATACACTACAAAAAAATTTCTCCGTTGGCTTACCCGCCCATTTGCATACAACGCAACGCAGATTGCATATCGCCGCATCGCAGACAGTAATACACCATTGGCCAGAGGGGTTTATTATCAATGCTTGCATCTTGTAAACCAAAACAGTTCGATTGGTTGAATGTCAGACCCACAAAAGAGGAAACCAAATTAAATGTGCTAGGTACACCACCACGCTGCGCTTCACGCAAATTACTACTGATGATAGTTGACATATATAATTTGTACCTGCAAGGCGCACGTTAGAGGTAAAACTTTTAAGAAATACTTTACGTTGTTTCAATCACATATTACCTATTCTCCAAATATTTTTTAGCTTGATCAATGAACTGTGTTATTTGTGCGCGATTTTGTATGGGATCACGATTTCTCGAAACTGGTGCTATATTGACCATATACTTCATAATTTCCCATATTTCAGTAACTTTTTGATCTTCGAAGCTTTCCGCAATCTTGGCAAATTTCTGCACGAGATTAGGTCGAAATGCACCTTTAATGATCGCCGTATTGTATTCATATACCTCACGTGCATATGCCATTTCCTATAAATAAATACATAGATTTATTAAAAGTTTGATATTAATTGTTGAATACATTTCAACATTGGTACGTACAATTCGATTGAGGCACGAACGCGAGCCAAAGGTCTCGTTAAGAACTGTTTGCTCTGGCAGTTTTTGTATGTCAATCCAATTCTGCGAGGGTCCAATTAATGAATTAAGCAACTTTACTTTCTCTTGCTGCCATTCGTTGCGCACACATTCCCACCGTCGTTTTTCCGCAGCCTCAAATGTCTGTTTGTAAAATATTAAATTATTTTTTATGAATTATTGCTAATATGTATCAAATTCAATTACTCACACTTCTATTAACTTCTTCAATCATAGACAATATAGCGTTCTCCTTTTCGTTCTTTAAAAAACTACGAACGTCGGTGTCCGCAATAGGATCTAGTGGTTCAAAGGTTTTCCGAGCATTTAATGCTTCCAATTTTTGTGAAATTTTTGGTAGATCAATGCCTTTGGAGCCGAGTAAAATATGCCTGAATATTTCGATAATATAATACTGATAACATTTATAGATAGCTGATAATTGAGATTTACGCTTGTATATCCTGGGCGCCTGTTTGAGTGACACGTGAGTGCAGTTCCTGGGTCGCTTGCAAAACTTGGGAAATTGTACGCTCAACACGCGGCAACTCCTCAGAGTTTTGTGTCTCATTGGTCAAGCGCTGTGCTTGTTGTAGCAATGAGTTAAAATCCATGTTGCTTTATGAATACCGCTCCGGTTGTTAGGGAAAATTTATTTAACTTTTAATTTACAAACTACTATTGAAACTATTCTATGAATTTTGCAGTTTTTGGCGGTAGTGACAGTTTGACGGCTACACAAATTGATGTTGCCATTCACAAGTTTTATTTTAAAACAGATGTATAAAATTTTTTGCTGAAACGACCAATCGATTTACGAAATGGCACAATAACCTTGACATTTGTTTAGAACTTAATTTTGTTATCAATGATTTAAATTTTTTGGAGGCACAGTAATACACTTAATACCTTAATATATATGAAAATACGATTCCATATGAATGATGCGAGATTGTATGATATCATCTTCTATTTTTAATCCGGCAACACCGTACATTTTTAAAGAGAATTTATCTTCAACGAAGAGAATATGTAGCAGCAACATATCCTTCTAAAACTCTTAACTGAGAAGATTTAAAAATTTTATACGAATTTAACATTTAAAAAGATATTTCAATTAGCATAAAAACAAACAATATTAGTATTGTATCTTATAATCTTGCAGTAGTTTATTGAAAAAATATTTTTTTATGTCAAAAAAGAATAAATATATATCATTCCAATTATTTTTCAATATTTTCAAAGTAACGGACTGTTTTGGGCACTGGGTATTAAAATGCTAGTACTCCAACCTTTTTAAATGGTGTTGCATTGGCAATTGAACTGCTTTCTTTATAAATAGTTACATGCTCCTTATATAACTTCACATATTTGCAATGGCTGCATCTTACTGAATTGTGGTAATGTAAATTATTCGAGTTATATGACACTTTAAAACACGAACTACATTGTAAATTAATTATTCGATTAAAATTTATGGGTTTAGCTTAGTATTAAGATTAATTGGCCGCATTTGAAGCTCGGGTAATTGCATCAAGCCACATGTAGTATTGTATGTATATATTATATATATGTTTAATAAATAAAGCATTGGTATAAAATCCGCCATATGTTTAAAAATCTGCAGGTCACATAATACTATCATTCTCAATTGTGCTTAATTCCTTCAGTTGCGAAAATATAACCTTTGCGCCTTTCAAATACCAGACTACAAGCACTATATGGTATTATATATTCATAGGTATACATTTTGTGATGTTAAATTGTGAGATTCTAAAAGAATTTTAAAAATTAGTTTCATTAAAATTGTTTGATTGCAATAAGGCTGCAGCAGTTGAAGTAGAAGCGTTCACTTGCTCACTTTTACTGCTGGCATCATCATTAGTACTACTATTACGCCCAATTCCTACTGTATAAGCCACTACGGTAGCGTGATCCAACTTTCCAGGCAGAGCAGCAAAAGCGCTACTATCTACGACACGTTTTCGTGCCGCGCGGTGCTGCATACGGTTAAGTTCGACTTCACGTTTAATGCCATCAGGACCCGTTGCTAATTTGTAAAATAGTTCACGTTGTTCTAGTGTTTTCCTACGGGCTGATGTGATCATACGAGCAAAATCAATTAATAAATGGCATAGTCGACGAGCTGATGTACAAGGTGAAAATGTTCCATTTATGCCAAAACTCAGCAGATCCTCTAGACGATAGAGTGTGAGTGCGTGTCTTTGTGGTCCAGTCACTAAGGGTAGGCCCGAAATTGATTTGGGTATCTTTGGTAAAATGTTGGGAGCTAAATGCTGCTTCCTTCCAGCAGAGGCTCCAGCTGTGGAAAGACGTCTTGGTTCTATCACAGTATGTGAACGCATATATTTTGGTCGACTTGGTGCACTAGCTGCAGTACTCACATTAACAACTTCCGGTGAAGGTGATTTTTTGGTGCGTGGTGGTCGCGTTGGTACATTAGCTGGAGATGTTGGCAGTGATTCAGTCTCGCTCCTAGATTGGTTGTGATGGACATGATGCAAACGTGCATAAATAGATGAAGCACTTTTATTTTGCCTTTTTGGTGCTAAGTGATGGTGCCCTTGTGATGTACTACTTGGCATAAGTTTTACGTCTGGTGTCCACGCTTCAGCAAATTTTCCCACAACTGGGTCGAAATTGTCACTAATTCCGTCTGACGTTAAGAATACAATATCACCCTTTTCAATGATCGTCATTGATAAAGTTAAGTTCCCAAGTTCGGGTTTATTACCATCGGCAGGACCTAGAGCGCCCAATGCATCGCGCATGTCGCGCATTGACGTTATATCGTGTGATGCTTGTGTAAATTCACGGACGCCATATTTTTTCGAATATACATATCCCAATGAGTCACCCACATTGCATGCGCATACAACGTATTTACCATCATCAGCTATCGGTAGTACTACGGCTATTGTTAGTGTACTTAGAGAACCACCCACTTCGAGTATGCAGCCATGACCTTCCCACAAACTACGTAGGAGACTTATAAATACCTCCGTTGTCGATGTTGCCATACACTCTCGTGCAAGTCCGAAAATAGCACGATCCAAGTAGTCAAGGCAACCATGTACAGCCGAACGTGCAGCTAATCGCGCACCATCACCCCAATTAACGCCGTCAGCAAGCGCCATAGCTGCTGCATCTCCACGTACAACTATACCATAGCAATCTGCTATAGGACTGCCCATATGCTCTTTTGTTAACATGTTGTTTTCATAGAGTGATACTGAAATCCCATAGGCATAATCAGTTTCCATTCGCCAATCAGATACACCAGCAATAGCATCTGCCATATAGTTATTGATTTCCTTGCAAGTGGTTACGTCACTTTGATTTGAAACCGCTTCACGAAGTAATCGCTCTGTCGTATTATCTAATATAACCTTTGTGGAACAACCAACTTCTATGGAAGTGTCCTTGGTATCATTTTCTTTGGAATCCTTAACATCAACAGATGCTGCTAATACCTTTGTTTTTGTTATATTATCCGTCAAAGACGAATTTAATATATTTTTGTTATTTTGATCATTTGCTGCATCATTCGTGGTAAATTTTGTGCTTACTAAGCTCACTACAATCGTTGTCGACTTGTTTGCGTTTTCCGTGATTTTCTGGCTATCCGCATTTGTCAATGGTGGTTTCTGTGAGGTATCACATACCTTTGACGTGTTTATATCGGTAGGTATGTTTTCTGAATGGTTTGGAGTTTTATTGGAATTTGTAATACTAGTCCTGGAGTTTTTGCGTGAACGGATACCTGCTGGCTTATTTGCATTTTGATCACTGTTTGATGTAATGGCACTATTACTTAATTTACGTGGTGTACCCCCATATCGATTGAATTTGTTTTGATTTCGGTTATTAGTGGTAATACTTTTTCGAACCTCGAAGCAGTCATTTTCCTGAGTAGTATCAATGAAGTCAATGTCGTCTGCGTAGCTTGCACTTAAATGCAATTTTGAGCGCTTAATGCCAGTAAGCCCTTCATCAGGACCGGTACAGGCGGCAGTTATAGTGGTGGGACCAGTCGCATAGACACCAATTTTAAGATCTGGCAGGTCAGTTGGATTTTGTCCATTTGAAATTTGCGGTCCAGGGATAAACTGACGTTCCATGCGTCCTTCTAAATATTTAACAATAAAATTTCCATCATCTGAAGTTTTATGCACCCCTCTTGGACTATCGCGAGGTTCAGCAATAAAACTTAATTGACGGAAATATGTTGTGACCTTTTGCCGTAGCGAGGGCATTTTTATGCTTCTAATTTACCGTTTTCCTTCAAATTACTTCGTTCAAACTTTATAAGCGACTACTCTGGCGAAAAATTATAATTGGTCTGAGATGAATTCAACGTCATTGTACTCTCACTAATTACTACAATTAAGAAAACAAATGCGTCAACGGGGGTTGGTGATATTTGAAAGTCTTTTGTCTGAATAGCTGTTGTGCTCCATATGATAATTACGACTGTAAGGAGTTCGTTATTAATTTCAAGCGATACATATATTTATATATATAAGTTATACCTGATTTGTAGCTGTGTATAAAGAAGAGACAAAGGTTTGATTCATTCGCAAAGCCAAGTTTTATTTTCTTTGTAAAACATTGTTTTCGAAATTCCAAGGTAGTGGGCGGCGTATTTCATCTTAATATTATATGTTTTATTATAAAACTATAATGTTCAAAAAGCTGGAAAGACATCCGATATTAAATCAATACTCACTGATTATAAATTTGTTTCCAAAAATAGCTATTATATATTCTATTAATAATTTATTTTCAATTACATTATTATCGATTGTTTTTACTAACTCACTATACCAAGGATGACTATACGACCAGCTTATTATGAATAAGCTGACTTCCGCCAGTGTTGCCGTTGCGCTGTAATTTTTATTTTATTCCTATGTTCAATTTAATACTTTGCATTTTGAGAATGTAATGGAATTTTCAAATTTAAAGAACTATTAAAATAACATATGACAATAGAGCGGGCGTTCAGTTGTTCCTGATAATATGGTGGAAACACTATATAATTTTACCGCCAACTACAATTTCCTTGTACCTGAACCAACAAAAGAAACAGCACATTTTTATTTAAAATTGTGTATACTAAGAGTTCATATGAGTTGAATTTATCAGAATAAGTAGCTTTATAAATAAGATTTTATGGCACAGTTATGGTTAATACACATACAACTTTTGCTACGCTTCGCTTCAGACATTTGTTTTGACAGATAAGTTCGAAGTATTCTTGAGTATGAGTTCGTAGCAAAAGTTGGATGTGGATCAGCTATTATTGTTGATATTTCCATTTAAATAGAAATGTAGTGTGTCTGGCGACTCCCGCACCATCTATAATTTTCACTGGTGTCGATTTTGTGTGCTGGTTGTACAATTTAGAAAAATTGTCCCTTTTCGATTGCAAATACAAAATAATATAGATTTTAATTTCTTAATAAACAATTTTGAAAGTTTTACCTCATTACTATGGCTGACATGAAATCTGTTTTCCATGAGTGGTGCTCAAAGCATAAACTAGAACCAAAATTTGAAGTTCGTCCGACTGGTAAGTGTGCATAATTGCAATGGCGTAGAAAATCGATTTTTAAATGCATATATTGTACATATTTAAAGGACCAAAGCATCGCCAACGATTTTTGTGTGAAGTACGAGTGCCGAATCATCCCTACGTGGCGGCAGGTAATTCTACGAACAAAAAAGATGCAGAACGCAATGCAGCTCGGGATTTCATGAGTTTTTTGGTACGTACCGGTAAAGTAAATGCGTCTGATATACCTGCGGACGCAGGAATGGCAGCTATAGCACCTGCAACTAACGCTGAAGGGGGCGGTGAAAGATATGGTTCTCAACGCAAATTCTTTGATGGTGGGATGGGACCACAAGATTTGGGTCAGGCTTATCAACCCATAGAGCGTGAGATCAATCCAGTGGATAGAGCACGTGAACAATTGGAAATGAAAGAAGCTGAGTCAGTAGATGTAAATGCAGCCATACATGGTAATTGGACTATCGAAAACGCAAAGGCAAAACTTCACCAATTCATGCAGATGAACAAATTAACAGCGGATTATAAGTATACGCCCGTTGGTCCAGATCACGCCAGGTAAAATGTCGATTATGTATATAAAATCATTACACTACATACATACATATGTATTTCATTTAAATTCATTCTGTTTTAAGTGAGCTCATCTCTTCGATTTTATATCAATAAATCAAAGAGGAAAGCTTCGATTATTTATGTCGTACCTGTGGCAAAGTGAAGACTGGGTGAAATATAGTAACTGCAATTGAAACCAAAAAAGATCAAAACTTTCACATATGTGGCAATGTGCGATAATTTGCAAACATCTGGTTTTAGTTGAATTTATAACATACATATATGAGACGAGTATTTTCAACCCTATTTCAGTTGAAAGTTTTCGCCTATGTTTATTAATTAAAAATTTACGTAAAATCATTAATTGGTATCATAACTTGTGCTTTGTACAGTTTGTCAAGGAATTGTGTAGCAAACAATTAAAAACGATTTAAATATAAAGTAGTTAAACTATCGTTTATTTAAGTCTTTTCTGTTTTTGTGTGAATATATTCTGTTAAATTATTTATGTTATGAAAAATTTATACATCTTTACTTTCTAAACAATTCTTTGACAGACTGTATTTAGGACACTACTATATTAGAAACTTTTCTTTAACTGCGAAAAGAAAATGAAAATAAACAAAATATCTAAATACTCTTAATACCAATGTGATTTATCCTGTATGATTTTTTATAATCCAGTAGCTTTGGGTATATTAAGTTTGCAAAGTAACGCACAGTGCCACAATACTTAAAAGGTATTCTTCTAAGGCCTATATTCACTACACCACAGAAAATTGCCATTGGTAAGTAAATTATATAAAAATTAAAAAACTACCACTAGTGTTTTTTCTTTTTACAAATTAAATATATACTTGCGATTAAAAATGTATTACTAAGGATAAAAATTAAGATCGGAAGTAGACATTAGAGTCCTTTGTTGTTTTTGTTGTAATGACGCAAAATAGTCTTGGAGAATGGTATCGGAACATTTTAGATCGTCAATGCTTATTGTATACATTTCCAAACAATTCTTCATAAAGAAATCGATATAAACTCGTTAAAAATGTCAACATTTTCTAAAGTAAATTTTTTACCGTTTTATCCGAATAAAATTCAAGTCTTCGAGGCTTTAGCGATTCTTTTATGATTAATATTAATTAACAAACGTATAAAAAATAACTTCTCGGGAGTTTATTAATTAAATTTGTTTCAATTTAATACTTTATATGATGTCTTTATATTCTCTTTTATTTGTTCATTGCAATAAATTTGTTTAGGAGCTTTATGGCTGAAATGCAAATTTTCGTGCGTCAACTAAAACGTACAGTTACCGCACGCGAGACTGGTTCCAATAAACAATCAGCAAGTAAATCATGCGCTTTGTCTTTGGTACGTCAACTTTATCATTTGGGTGTAATTGAGGCTTTTAGTGGCACATTGAAGCAACGCAAAGACGATGCGGATATGAAACCGTATCCAGTCAAAATTTCTGAAAATCTAATGCAAAAAGTCGAAGAATGCATTCGAGAACTTGACCTACCGGTTATTAATCCTTTCAATATAAAAGCGGAAAATGAGAATACTGGTGTGAGCTTACTTGTAAGTAATATTTATTAATATAATGCACACACACATATATATATGTACAAATATTTATATATATACTTTTTATTTTATTTCCAAGATCCCTACCAATAGGGAAGCAAGAAGTCAAAACGACGAGGCCTCTCAAATGCAGGGTTCAGTTATACCTTGGGCTCCGCCACAACCTAATTGGAACGCATGGAATGCTTGTAATATTGACGAGGGTTATTTGGCTACAGCCACTTTAGATGATCTCTGCGAAGATCTCGAAACAACTTCGAAAGAAAAGCGAATGAATAATGTAGAACTGCAGAAATTCATTGAGTTTCGTGAATGTCTCCCCATTGCGGCTATGCGCAATGAAATAATGTCTAACATACATGAGTATCCTGTCGTTATCATACGCGGAAACACTGGTTGCGGCAAAACAACACAAATTGCACAATATATATTGGAGGATTACATTGCATCCGGTCAGGGTGCCTTCTGTAATATTTATGTCACGCAACCACGTCGTATTTCAGCTATTTCGGTGGCAGAACGGGTCGCCGCCGAGCGTTGTGAGAATCTTGGCGAAGCGGTTGGATACTCAGTCCGTTTCGAAACGGTTACACCGCGCCCCTATGGCGCCATCTTATTCTGTACGGTCGGTGTGCTGTTGCGCAAACTTGAGGGCGGCTTACGTGGCATCTCTCACATTATTGTGGATGAAATTCACGAGCGTGATGTAAATAGTGACTTTTTATTGGTCATACTACGTGATATGGTACACACATATCCCGATTTACATGTCATTCTAATGTCTGCTACAATTGATACAACATTATTTTCGGAGTATTTTGGTAAATCTCCAGTTTTAGAAATTCCCGGACGTGCTTTCCCTGTACAACAATTCTTCTTAGAAGATTGTGTAGAAATGACAAAGTTTATGCCGACACCTGAATCACGCAAGAAGAGCAAAGATCGCGATGATGAGGAAAAATCTGTAATAGCTGAGAATGGTGAGGATGCAAATGATCAAAATTTGAACAAAGTTTGCGACGCAAAATACTCACAGCAAACTAAAACGGCAATGGCATTGTTGTCCGAGTCCGAATGTTCGTTTGAATTGATCGAAGCGCTTTTGGTGCATATTAAATCGAAGAATATACCGGGAGCTGTGCTTATCTTTTTACCTGGTTGGAATCTAATTTTCGCTTTGATGAAGTATTTGCAGAACTCACAATTCGGTGGAACACAATATCGCATATTGCCATGCCATTCGCAAATTCCACGAGAGGATCAAAGAAAAGTGTTTGAGTCAGTGCCAGATGGCGTAACAAAGGTAAATTTCAGATATTTATTTCATTATCTAAATTATTTGCTTAAAATTTTTTGTCGCTGTTTTTACTTTCAGATCATACTGTCCACCAATATTGCTGAAACATCTATAACAATTGACGACATTGTTTTTGTTATTGATATCTGCAAGGCGCGCATGAAGATGTTCACCTCACACAATAATCTCACAAGCTATGCCACCGTTTGGGCAGCCAGATCGAATTTGGAGCAACGTAAAGGTCGCGCTGGTCGCGTTCGACCGGGTTTCTGTTTTACCCTTTGCTCTCGTGCTCGTTTTCAGAGACTTGAGGAAAGCATGACACCTGAGATATTTCGTACACCATTACATGAATTGGCACTCTCCATCAAACTGTTGCGTCTTGGTTCTATTCATCAGTTTTTATCAAAGGCTTTGGAGCCACCTCCATTGGATGCCGTTATCGAAGCTGAGGTGCTTTTACGCGATATGCGCTGTTTGGATGATAATGATGAGTTGACACCGTTGGGGCGCATTTTGGCGCGTTTGCCGATTGAGCCTCGACTAGGTAAAATGTTGATATTAGGCTCAGTGTTTGGCTGCGCGGACATATTGGCGAACATGGCCTCTTACTCGAGCACTTTCTCCGAGATATTTGCATTAGACATTGGGCAACGGCGTTTGGCAAATCACCAAAAACAATTGGGCGGGCGCAAATGTTCTGATCATGTTGCTATGATAGTCGCTACACAGATGTGGGAAAACGCCAAGAATCGTGGCGAAGAGGAAGAGATAAAGTTTTGCGAGTGGAAGGGGTTGCAGTTATCAACCATGCGCGTTATGTCCGAGGCCAAAGGTCAGCTTTTAGATTTGTTGCAACAAACCGGATTTCCAGAGGAGTCAATGATATCGTATAAAGTGGATGCGAATAATGATGATCCGGTTTTGGATATGGCTACTGCATTGCTTTGTTTGGGTTTGTATCCAAACGTTTGCGTACACAAGGAGAAACGTAAGGTTTTGACAACGGAATCCAAGGCCGCACTTTTACATAAGACTTCGGTTAATTGCAGCAACTTGGCTGTAACTTTCCCCTATCCGTTCTTCGTATTTGGCGAGAAGATAAGAACTCGTGCTGTCTCCTGCAAGCAGTTGACAATGGTGGCGCCATTACACTTGCTGCTCTTTGGTTGTCGTAAAGTGGATTTTATTAAAGATAATATAATTCGGCTAGATAATTGGCTTAACCTTGAAATGGATCCCCAACATGCTGCTGCATTGGCAGCGCTGAAACCGGCTATTGAAACCCTTATCACTATTGCATGTGATAGACCAGATGAAATTGGTCAACTCGAAGAGCCACAAGCGAAACTTATAAATGTTGTAAAGGAGTTATGTGTTATAAATGCTGGTGATTATAATATTACCAGGGAGGCTGGTGTGTTACCCTTCCAAAGTCGACAAGGCGGTGGTGGTGGCCATAGTGGTGGTCCACCCAATAAGCGTGGACGTTTCGATGGCGGCAGTGGTTATAGTGGATGGAATCGTGGTGGCGGTGGCAGCAATTGGGGCTCAGGTGGTGGTGGCAACTGGGGCCGCGGTAGTTTTGGACGAGGTAGCGGAACCAACCAATGGGGCCGCTACGGAGGTGGTGGCAGAGGCAGATTTTAAGTGTTTACATATTTTGTAAAAGATGATATCGCAGAATATTTTATCTCATTTTATAGAATATAATTGCTAATAAAAGTACATTCATTAAAATATGTATTCTAAAACTAATTTATTATGCAATCTTTTCTTGTGTAAATCTTGTAGCAAATTAAAAATTATTATAGCTTATTTCGTATTTCCGCAAATTTTTCCTCACAATATGTGCTGCAATAGAAGCGCTTGGCATGTATGTATGTCGCTTCTTCCTCACAATTGCGGCACCAACGTTTTCTTTTGATATCCACCTCCTCTGCCTGTAGTTGATGTAGACGTTGTTGCAGATGAGCAATTTCTGCTTCGAGCTCCGCAGTTCGTTGATGGCACCGTGGCCATAGATAGTACACCACTCGTGATTGATCGTTTATTGTTTCAATAAATGCTCTGGTTTGTTTAACACTTAATTTTGACGTTCTACGAATTGGTAAATGATAACGACGCAATCTTAAACATGGTACTTCCGTTATAAAGCGGTTATGTTCCACCAATTTTTTTGTAGTAAATTTTTTCGACATTAAGGGTCTGGTTTTGCGTTTGGGGAACGCCGAAATTGTGTTTCTTCTTTTTGGCTTCCTTTTCAACGGTTTGGACCAATTGGAAGCGGTATCCGTGGAAGTGACTATAGAGGATTCCATAGTTTCGCATAAATCGGTATCGTAGTATTGCATTTTGAAGTTTACTTAATCAAAAAGGCAATAATATTAAATTTATTTTCCAAGGTCTACTATTTGAAATTATTTTAAGGTTATGAGTTGCCAAATAATGTTCTTAGAAACGAATAAGAATGCCCAACCTAATACAAATTTCATTTTCATAAATGTTATTTTAAATTAACTGTTTATATATTGAGAAAAAACCTTTTTTAAATCTAATTTATGATTTCCAATTAGGTTGCAAGGATATTTAAATTAAATGAAATGCATTTCGTAAATTGTTTATAACGTATTTTCTTTAATGGACAATACTATTAGAAAATTTCTACTCAATTGTTTTTAAAATTATTTTTTTACTTTAAATCAGAGCAATTATTAACAACACAAAGTTAATTGAAATTGGGCAAATGATTATTGCGGGATTTCGTTTTGAACGCAGCTGGCATTATCGTTATGGTTTTTGCAATTCCTTTCTCCTTTTCCACTTCCATCCTATTGCAGTGCTTGGAAAATAATGCTGCTAATAGAAAGTTTATTCAATTGTGCAGTGAAAATTTGTTAAAATTCGGTTTATTTTTGTTTTAAAGGGTTTTAAAAGTTTGAACGCAATGTAAAACAATATAGGGCTTAAAAGCATACAAACAGTTTAGTGAAATCAGTGAATTCGGTGAAAAATTAACCGTCTCACCGTCACCAGGACGAAAAATCGATACTAACAGACGGTGATTTTTGAAAATTCATTTTGTAGTGCAATTAAGCGCAGAATGGTAGGCCTTCTGGATCCTTTGAAATATGGAGAACATTTTTATGAGTTATACACAAGTAATACTCGAAGGTAAGTAAAGATTGACAAAATATTCAGTAAGAAAAATTTCGGGGCTGTGCTGACGACATTGGGCGGTGAAATATCGATTTTTCCCATGCATGCAGCGACAATCAACCCTTAAATTACGTCAAGGCTATTGACATCTGCCAGTCAGCTGTAGCGCAACGCAGCTCCCAACTGGAATGCAAGAAAATGGTCAAAACAAAAATAAGCCGATAAGTGGTTTGTAGGTCAAAAAGCCGGGAAATCGTACACAGCTGTTTTTGTTTACTCTTTCCACGGCATAACTGGATTAAGAATGCCGGGTTCATTGTTTATGTTTACATTTTTATCCAAGGTCACGGAAGGCCAATGACATGAATTTTTGCATGTGCGCACGTGACGTCAAAATGGAAAAGAAAATGAGAGATTTAATTTATGTAAATATGTATTACGAGCACATATTGGATCTTAATGTACTTATTTTGTATATTGAGTAATTAAAAATTTATAAGGCAAAGTAAGAAAATAAAATATATTACGATGTGTTGTTATCAGAGTGAACGAAATTATTATTTTTTAAATGATTTAGTAAGTGTGTGAAAAATATTAATTAATGCATGGCTTTTTCCAGAAAACTTCAAAATGATCGCAAATCATTGTCTAAGCGAAAAAATAAAGATAAGAAGGCCGCCGCACTTGCTGCAGCGGCGGCGGTACTTGAGGGCAACGCAGGTGCCATTGTGAATCCCATGGATCCACCGATTATAAAAGATCAATTGCTATTATTTCCTACTTTTCCTGTGGCACATATAGAACTTGAAGCCAATGCGTCGAAATTCGCCATTTTCGCCGTGATACGTTCCACTGTCCTGGAAGCAGAGACACGTTATGCACTCTTTCAAGATAGCAGGGGCACATTGCGTCGCTTACACAATTTAAGTTCCTCTTGTTGTCTGCTTTGTGCTGGCACCTGTATGACAACTAATCTCCTTGACTGTTCTTGTCATAGCATGCTGTCAGCAGTAATTGGTGGCGCCAATGTAGGCAACGGATTGCTAGTGGAAAAACGGTCTCGACATGATTCCGCAAACAGTGATGCCGAGAGTGAGTCTGAAGAAGCTACTGAGAAGAAGTTTACACTTGTGCGTGTACCATTGATTGTGGGTGCGGGATTGCGCAGTCTTTTCGAATTAATCGCTGAAGCGCGTCACATACAACCCATGTTATGTACGAAAGCAATCAGAGCATTACTAGATGTCATACAAGGACAGCAACCGGAATCATTTAAATTGGAACCTGATGATTTGATAAATCCGCTATATGATTTATTGCTCGACTTAACCACTATGCCAGCAGCCTTGGTCGCCAATGCGACTACTGAAGCCAATTGGTCGGCAATGGCTTGTGCAGCTCTGATTGGACTTTGCATTGCACGCGGCGATACGGGAAAAATACTGAAAGCTATAGCAGCCATGTTAATGTCGCCCAAACAGTTGTCTACACAAATAATACAGTTGCCTGCCGTACTATCTTCGCTGCAGAGGACTGTTATGAGTGCCGCGCTAAACAAGCCCACAAGACCGGATTTTCACACTCATGGTGTGCCCGTAAACTCGCTTATCGATGAGGTTGGATATATTTTTTGATATACCATACAATTGTTTATAGACTTTCTTTACAGTTCAGCTTAAAAACATCTGCCGCTGCAAGCGGCTCTCTTTACACTCAACCAGCCATGGCCTCAGATGGCACTTACCTGTATCTTTTGCTTGGTAGCTCTTTGCTTAAAATCGGTACTGGTTTTAGCGGTTCATTTAAGGGCCATATCTATGCACAAAATGATGAATTTACCAAGGAAAGAGCTGGTTGGCTGGGTAATTTTGGCGGTAACCTTTATTTTCGACGTAATGTGAAGCGTTCAGCAGACCATTTGCACCTAGTTAATAAAGAGACGCTGACCATCAAGGGTATAAACTCTGTTAATCTTGTACCCATAAGGGAGGGATTCAATTATGTGCTTTTCACTGATGAAGACTCGATCAATGCGATCTGCACTAATCGAGATGTAAGTGGAATATATATACGTAATTAAAATTATTTATAAAAATACAAATGACTTTCACATGTTTCCCCTATTAGGACACGCTTGTTGTGAAAAAACTTAATTTCAATAACTCGAATACTTATGGCAATGATTCGTCTCCACCTTTCGAGCTGCCTCTCAAGTTGGCTCGTAAAAAGTTTCGCACACTCGGCTATGCCGCTTTCGAAGATGAAGTGCTCAATCAAAATCAAATACAAAAAATACAATCCTCATACAATATTTTCGAGCCGAAATTACCCAGTGATGTTGAGATACAAGGTATCGTATGCGGCAAAGAGTTCGGTTTGGTGCGTGCATCGAATGGAAAGGTGTACTACTATGGCAAATCAGCGTCGTTGGGCCTAAAATCAATTGGACGCACGCCCACCATGAAAATGACTGAATTGATTATTTCGAAAGTTTCAAATATTGTGCATATCGCCGTCGGACATGATGGCATACACGCTTTGTTAGTAAACGATGACGGTACTGTCTACTTTACGGGTCAGTAAAATATTCCACTAATTCAATTTAAAATAGTTATAAAGCATTTGACCCACAGGTACCGCACGCCGTGGAGAAGATGGCGACTCTTCAAAGAATCGTCGACAGCCAAAAGCTGTGAAGCCTAAAAAAATGTCGAAAATCGATGGTCATGTAGTCATACATGCGGCCTGCAATAACGGCACATCCGCTTTTGTCACGAAAACTGGCAAATTGATTATGTTCGGCAAGGATACGGCGCATTGTGACGCCAGCGGCTGTGTAAGCGATTTCATTGATCAACACATAACGAAGGTGGCACTGGGTAAAGCCCATTGTGTGGCGCTAAATTCAAAAGGACAACTTTTCTCTTTTGGTTTGAATAATAAAGGACAATGCGGGCGTGTATTTAGCAAATCCTCCAAAGACAATTGCGTATCCTTACAAGGTGGCGGTAGTGTCTCAGGTGTGGGTACAACTGCTGACCCAGACGGGAAAAGTTTGTTGGGTAGCAAGAAGTTAAAGTTCGATTTTTCAACGCTCTGTGACTATGACGATCATCAATTGGTACAGGGGCAATGTCGTGTTTGCGTCATGTGTCGTGAATGCACTGGCTACAATGTCTCATGTGTGTCAACGTTGAACGTGCCCGTCGAAGAGCGTTTATCAGGCGCGTAAGTGTATGAAATATTTTTTTTTGATTGTCATACCTTAGAGGAAACGTCGAATACTCTAAAAAGTATATAAGTACGAGTATATAAATGATCAGTGGAACGAGCTGGGTCGATTCAGCTATGTCTGTCTGTATATACGCGAACTAGTGCCTCAGTTTTTGAGATATCGATCTGAAATTTTTCACACGTCCTTTTTTCCCCAATAAGCTGCTTGATGATCGCAAAAGCTGATAGCGGACCTATAGCTGGCATACAAACTGACCGATCAAAATTGAGTTCTTGTATGGAAAACTGTTTTATTTGACAAGACACCTTCGCAAAATTTGGCATGGATTATTGTCCAAGGCAACACTACAATCTCCGAACATATT